CTTTGGCCCTGGGCCCTAGTAAGTTGAATGCCAGCCCCGGTGACCCCATTAAAACGGGGTCACGACCCACTTTGGGGTCCCGACCCACAGTTTGAGAACTGCTGAATTAAGCCATTGGTGGCCAGCAATTGGCATAGCTGCATCAGAGCAAAACCCAAGCATAAACAAAGAAAGCCATGATATATATCGGTGGTGATACCAGTGCTTGAAATGAAGTAGTCTTTAGTGGTGCTGAGCAGCTTTCTTTGTGTACCATGGTTACTGGCCACGCTGTCTGAGTTAGGGATAATCCCAAGTATGGACAAACACTAAGAGCTATGTTCCTATCTCAGGCACAATACGACATGATTTATGTGGTTAATCACATATAACCAACACAGTTGCAATGATTAATCTTGAATAATGGATACTCTATAGCGAATTTATTTGTAGTAATAGGTGAAAAACCTCCCTGAAATTAATCAGCAAAATCTGAACAAATACATCTGAGGAAATTCTAATTGGTTCACAAGCACTTCTCAAGCAAAAAAAGAGGCTGGATTCTTTACCTACATTTTTGCTGTGGTTGTTTTTTCTCAGATCTACTCAAGGGATCTGGAATATGATGTTTCTGCTTCCTATTTAGGTCACCAATCTGAATTTAGCACAGACTGGTAGACATCCACATGTGATGGCTGTTAGGTGATCTAGTTAAAAGAAATTTTAGCCCAGGCCCTTTGGGCTAATCCAAAGCCCTTTGGAAAGTCCTGACTGACTTCACTGGGCTTTGGATCAGACTCCTAATGGACAAGTAACCACCCTCACAATTGATACCCTTCATGGTGATTCAAAAAGACCAAGGTGTGGTGTTTAGATGCTGCTTGTAATTATTAGAATTGGGAGCACTGGCTGTTGGGAATCTGAAAGGACAGGAAACAGGAAGGATGGGGGAAAGTTGAGGAGGCAGAGTGAGAGTTACTGAGGGTGCAGCATCAGCTTGGTAAAGAGGTTTCCACTTTAAAAATAAAGTCCTGTTGAAGTTTGTTAGTACCTTGCCTGGTTGCTACAACACAATGACTGAATGGGTTAAAGGTTGAAGCATGTTAGTGTTGTGGTTGGATCTTCCGTTATTGATGCCTATGCGGTACTTGTTCAATGAAAAATCAGAGTTCCAGACCCAGAGCCATTGGTTCAACACCAAAATAATTTGAAAAACAAACCCATTTTGTTTTAAATCATCAGATTTGGCGTGTATGATATGGAATGGAATCCCAGATATGTTGGTCTTTCTGCATTTTCTTTGCTGGCCCATTTGCTTATTTGTGTCTATTTTTGCCAGAATGCACTTATTCAATTGCTATTTTCCTTACAGCTATGCTTGATATGGGGCTTGCGTTCTCAGTTCCCATTTCCAGTAGTTATAGCTTTGGAAAACAGTTCAGGATTGAAATTTCTCATGCTTGTGCTTGGCATAGAGATGAATTCAAGTGCAAGAGTCCGGAGGAAAGTCTTTCATTTTTTTTCTGAGAACTTGGGCAATCAAATTAGCACAGATGCATTTTTGTTAACCAAAGTACTTAATTTTCAAAAATACACCCCCCCTCTCTCGCTTGTACGTAACTGACCATAGTGATTATCTATTTGTGTACAGTTGATTATTTTAGTTATCTTCTTTTTATATTAGATTTTGTATGTTACAATAACTGAATGACTTTTTTTTGTCAAACGTGATAGGGATAAACAAGATAAATGAACAGTTTTGACATTGTTTATTATTTATACCCTTGGTGATTTGTGGAGTTGTGAACAAGGCCATTTTTCTCTTCTTATAAATCTTTGAGAAATTTATAAGAACATTCCTCCCTTTTTCTCTAATCAAAATGATATATTTAATTATACATAAAGTATTTTATGAGCCAAATTCTCAGCTGGTGTAAATCAGTTTCTCTATTAACTTCAAAGGACTAAACCGAATTTATAGCCCCTGTGGAGCTGCCCATATATTTAAAAACAAAACAATATAAATTAGCAGTGCAGTTTCACTCAATACCAGTAGATTTCTCACCCTGCAGAATGCAACAAGATGGGGAATAACAGTGAATTTACCATGCAGAAATTCTCTGAGGCATTCCTTGCTGTCAACATTGGTAACATGATAACCATACTCATGATAAAAACAATGAGGAGTCCTTGTGGCACCTTAGAGACTAACAAATTTATTTGGGCATAAGCTTTCATAGTCTAGAGTCCACTTCATCAGATGCATGGAATGGAAAATACAGGAGCAGGTATAAATACACGCAAGGATGGGAGTTGCCTACCAAGTATTAAGTCAGTCTAATGAGACAATTCACTTAACAGCAGGATACCAAGGGAGGAAAAATAACTTTTGAAGTGGTAATGAGCGTGGCCCATTACAGACAGTTGACAGGAACATGTGAGTAACAGTAGGGGGAAATTAAGTTTAGGTTTTGTAATGACCCAACCACTCCCAGTCTTTATTCAGGCCTAATCTGATGGTGTTCAGTTTGCAAATTAATTCCAGTTCTGCAGTTTCACTTTGGAGTCTGTTTTTGAAGTCTTTTTGTTGAAGAATTGCCACTTTGAGGTCTGTTATTGAGTGACCAGAGAGGTTGAAGTGTTCTCCTACTGATTTTTGAATGTTATGATTCCTGATGTCAGATTTGTGTCCATTTATTCTTTTGCGTAGAGACTGTCCTGTTTGGCCAATGTACATGGCAGAGGGGCGTTGCTGGCACATGATGGCATATATCACATTGGTAGTTGTGCAGGTGAACGAGCCCCTAATGGTGTGGCTGATGTGGTTAGGTCCTATGATGGTGTCCCTTGAATAGATATGTGGACAGAGTTGGCACCAAGGTTTGTTGCAATCTACCAACCAATCATGTCTCTGGTGGATTTGTGCAAAGAGAAAATGTACAGTAAATGATGTGTGCAAACATGAGCTTTCTCTTCAATAACCTCCTTCCTACCTGACCCGTTCATCATTGTCCTTATGGTCCCGATCCTGGTTGAGAATCTTCACTTCCCATTAATTTCAAGGGAGGGAAGCACCTCCCAGGATTGTGTCCTGTGGGAGCTGCACACAATCTCCAGTTTGCTTTGTGATGAAAGCAGAGATTTGAGCAAAAGGTTGCTTCTGTGACATCACCTCTTTGTCCACAGCCAGCCTAGAAACTATTCAAGCAAGTGCCTCAGATTGGGCCGCCTTCAGGAAGTTTACATGCAGGGACCACCTCCCCCAACCCAAAAGAAGCCCAAACATAGTGGAGCTGCATTCCAAAACAAGACTGCAGGAAGACTTCCTGAGGTTCCATGGTGAGAACTCTGAATCACCACATCATGCTGCTGTCTACAGGTGTGATCCTGCTCTTATTGAAGTGGGTGGCAAAAGTCCCATTGACTTCAGTGGTGCAGGATCAAGCTTTTGACACGGACAGAACTGTTTTCCTAGGGGGAGAGTTGACCCTGGGACCCTCTCTTTTGTAGCAAAATCTAGCAGGAGGCCAGAGCAGCCACTTGGGATGGAACAGGATCTGGTGGTGATAAAAGAGCAGGGGCTGGGCTTCCAGGAAGAGAGCCTTGCGACATGTTCAGTGGAGGAACAGAGCAAGAGGAAAAGGGGTATGAAAGGTCAAGCCTGAGGAGGGAAGACATTGGTTTAAGTTTATACTTTTGGTTTGAGGTTTATTGGGGGAGTTCAGGGAAGAGACCTTTGAGTCCTGGCCCTGAAAGAAGGGTGAACTTAGAGGGGCTGTAGGAGAGATCTGTTGGTAGGAAGAAGTCCAGGAAGGTGGCAGCAAGGAGTTTGGCAGTGAACCTTGATGGTCTGCCCTGGAACCCAGTGCAGTGGGAGGGCTGGGTTCCCCTACCAGCCACTGGTAATGCAGCATGAAGCCCCTGAGAAAGGATGACTGAGATCCCTGAGAGAAGGGTGTGAGAATTGTGGGGGCCAGAGTCAGGTCCAAAGACATTGTATAAGAACATTGGACTCAAAATGGTGGCAGTACAATGTGGCTCACCTGGAGGGCTGAATCACAGGAAGAAGAGACTGTTGCAGGGCTGGAGTGGCTGTCGACAGGGACTGTCATAGTTTCTTCTGTATTAGGAGCATAAGAATATTTTGTGGCTCCAAGTTCATTCACAGATGAAGGAACTCTCCTGCTCTTCAAGGTTACACCCTCCAATACAAAGGCATGCTGAGATGTCTATTTTCAATGGCTTAAATAGTTGCCACACGAACCCATCCCCACAAAGTGAGAGGTTGGGGCAATCATAGAACACAGAGGGTTTCCCAGAGACATTCACAAAAGTCATGTCTGCTAAATATGGCTAGTTAGAAAGTGGTCATTTGTAATAAGCAGACAGGCCACAACTGGAACTTTAAATCCTAATCCCTCTGAGGCCCAGGCGGGTCTGGACCTCAGCTGTTCTTATGGCTTGGGGGTCTGGTGTGGGAATTCAAAATGGGAAAAAGCTTCTTCAGCTGTGTTTTGGAATTGGAAGCAGTCAACAAGAACAGCACTAACAAAACGGATCCTGAACCATATACCAGATTCAGCCTTAAATCATACAAGTCTATACAAGTTATGCTGAAAGAGCATTATGTAAAAGCACACTGGGGAAACTTTAATGTGCACCAGCAGGGTATATACAGATCAATTAACATGCAACACAGTGCTTTAGAAATCACACCCCATAGTGTGCATTACCCCCTGGGTAAACGAACCTTAAATCCCACCCCAAACCCAGCTAGTACTGGATTTAAACACACATCCTTGACCCAACTCCAGACATAAGGAATGGTGTGCTGCCCTGGTGTTCAGAAAATATAGCGATGGGTGTCCTAAAAATGCCCTAATTAGGTTAGATAGCTCCTCCTTGTTGCATGTCTTCAGTGTGTTTGTACATCTGCAGCTGCCCAAGAAGCATATACATCAACAGGTTTCGCTATGGACAGCAATGATGTTGAATGTGAGTGAATAAATCACGTTAAACGGTTTTATAGTCAACAGTTATGAATTTATTGAGAAGTAGATACACTAGAAAAAATAGTTCCTTTGATTTACTGAAATATTTACTGAAGGAGGATACAGTCAGGAGCTTTTCTATGAAGATTTTTGAATTGCTGCTTTTTTTTTTTTTTTTTAAACTACCTCTAGACACACTCTAAATTTCAGGGCTCTGGTAGGGTGGCTTTTAGAAAAGTATCTGTTGGAAGAGGCCATGACTGATGTATAGCAGCTTGTTACAGAAAGGAGGCATTTTGACATAGACTTCTATTGATGTGTGTGGATGGTGTTATGAGGCTGAGTCCCCTAATGCATGGTACACGAATCCTCAGCAGTAGGTCCCCTGACCCTTTTTTACCCCTCACCACAACTGACTATTACTGTCAGGATTTACTTGGAGGGCCAGATCCCCAGCGGGTGCAAACTGGAACAGATCTATTGACGGCAATGGAGTGAGACAGATTTACACCCCCTGAGGATCTAGCCCACAGCTTTTCAGAGATTTCCTAGCTGGCTCACCCAGCATGTCTCCCAGAGTGCTAGGGAAGCACACAGTTCAGAGAGAACTGGAACACCCCTTTAAAGGGTGCGGTGTGTGTTTTCTTTCCCTTCCCCCGCACTGGCCCTGTTCTGCTAACTAGGTGGGAGTAGGATGGGTCCAAAACCCAACTCTTTGGGTTGTCTAGTATTACTGCTTACATTACACGCGTCCAGTCTTTACTCAGGGAGATCAAGGATTGAGAGTGAGCCTTCTCCTTCCTTGTGAAAGGGAGCGCTCGTTGAGCTGGTGTCCTCCCTCCTCATGCACCCATGCAGGGCTAGCCACAATCCAGCCTTGAAGCCATTATCTGGTCAGGTAACAATGCCATGAGAGAGAAATGTGGGACAGTTGATCTCAGCCTTGTTCCTTTCTCTCCTCATCCTCTCTTTCCCCTGCTGATTCTTCTCCCTCATGCTCACATCTCTGACCCTGTTCCCCTCACATGTCCCCCAGCTCCCTACGACATGCCCCTACCCACCCATACTCCCCATCTCCCCGCCCAGGGCTCCTGCCCCCTTTCAGCAGGTCACTCCTTCCCCTTCCAACTGCCAATCCCAACTGCCAAGGAACCTTCTAACCTCAACATTCCACCCCCACCCCACTTGCGAACTGGAGGGACGCAAAGATTGTCCCCCCATGTCTACCCGTTCAATTGTCCTGTCTGAAACAAGCTGCTTATCTCCAACCCACAGCCTCTGGAAATGGCCTGTGTGCTGCCAAAAGCCAAGTCACCCGTGGTGTGGCTCAGGCTTGTTTCTTGAAAGCCCCAACAGGCTCCCTGCATGTCCGACAGTTTGTTGTGTGCTTGTATCTCATTCAAAAGCAATAAATAATCAAAAGAGAAAAAACGTTATAGATTTTTCCCTGCTCGCTCTGGGAGGGGAACTCGTTGATTGCTGTTCTCTGGGGATTTGGGCAAACTAGGTTTTAAGTTTCCACGTTTGCACCCCTGAATTTCACTTTGAGTGTCAAGTTCAAACCTACATACACAAAGTCGAATTCAGCTAAAATTGCTGAGTTTAGGCTTGTTTGGGACCAAAGCCATGCAAGGCCACTTCAGTGGTTCTTGGCTTTCATTCCAAAGCCTTCAATAAAGCCAGGATCTCTCTCTGCTGCCCTGGGTTGCAAACTGCTCTGCACCTTTCAGGCTAGCTGACTAGAATTTCAAATTTCATCATGAAAGTTTTTTCATCTCTCTGAATACAGTGAGCCTGATTCATCCCTTTACACCAGGGCTCAGTCTGACTTACTCCAATGTATGCACGGACACCTTGTCACTCTATCGAATTGCTGCATCTGGACACACCTTTGTCTGAATAAAAGACTCTCTGGAGTTGGAGGGAGGGAGAGAAGAGAGGCCTCAGTTCCAGTGAAGAGGGAAGTTTTGAGAAGAGCACTGCTCATTTGGGAAGTTGACTAAGTGGGATTGGCCCCAGAGGCAAAATACAGAGACAGCTGACATTGTTCCCAACACATACAGTTTTCATGAGAGAATTTGGTTTGCATGTTAGTGTAACACTGACAGACCCCAGTTGTCAGCATTTAACCTGGGACCTATGGAGTTAAATGCATGAACCTGTATTGCATGAGCTAAAAGCCACATGCCTCTTAGCCAATGCTGTAGCAGACTCATTAATCTCTAGGTGGTCTAGTTGCCACTAGAGGGGGACAGAGCACCAGACTCAGCAGGCATGGGTTACATTACTACATAAAGTAAGATAAACACAACTGCAAGTTATGGTGGTGTCAGTGACTTGATCCTCTGTAGAGAGAGGACTTTCATCTTCCAGTAGACATAACAGTATGACACTCAAATTTCTCCCAATTATAAAATGGCATTGTTTTTATTTTGCAGGTCTTAGTGACTCAGAGTTTTCCATGAACAAGAATGTTTCTATAGTTTGATCTAAAGCACCCAGCTCGCCTGGGTGAGGGGGAAGAGCCAATATCAGGCTCTTGCCTGTCCCTACTTGTTCCCTTTATGATTTTGTTTGTGGTTGCTCAGGACAAATGAAACAATTGTTCTGCTTCAGGACTGGCCCTTCCTTCTGCATGGTGCCCTGCTCCATTGCTCTTCTAGAATGTTCTGAGGTTCTGTAGCTGTCAGTAGTGATAGCTGCCGTCTCCCAAGCATTGGCAATGCAGGGTGCCCTACCGGAATTGCATTATTCTTTTAATAAAACACAAGTCCCTCCTGTAAGATGATCAATGACAACTACAAAAGCACATGACTGGAATAAGGCTACTGGTTTGGGATGGGTCTGTTGGGCCACCCCTCTCCTGAGGTTCCTCTGGACGTTTACCATGCAAATGGACAACATTCCAACAAGACAGACAGCAAAGAGAAAGGGGCCAGAGCCCAGAGGAAGCAGCAGCCAAACTCAGAGTTTGTTTTGGAAACAAGAACTGGAGGAGCAAACAACCTGAACCTTCTCGAAAAGTGAGCTGCCTATTTGGAAGACTGCAAAGCAGGTGCTGCAGTAAGTTTGTGCTCATCCCTGCTGGAGCAGAGAATGTGAGATACATTCATTGAATCAGAAGGAGACTGAGATTAAGGCAGTTTCAATGGTGTTTTCCACAATCCCATGCTAACTCATTATTACCTTGTTCAAAAAGACTACAAAATACAGAAGGATACTATTAATTATGCTATTAGATATTGGAACCCTAGGGACTGCAATATAAAAGGTGTTCAAGGTCTGGTTGAAACTGAAACACACCAGGACAATAAAACTTCATTCTAACCACCTGTGGTGATATTTAAGTATTGCAATCAACAGGGTGTGTAAAATCACCCAAATATTTAGAGTCCCCTACAAACTTCAGGCATCAGTGAATTGGTTAAATTACAATCTCCGCTATGAATTTTCTGGCTTTAGTGCAGTAAAATCTGATCTTCAGGGAGGCATTTTCTAAAGTGGGTTAAACTTTCTCAAGTGTCAAGCCCCAGTCCTGCAGTTGCCTCCCGGCAGGCAGAGCCCTGTTGATTTTAGTAGGGCACCATCTGGGTGATAGGATCTGCCTGGGGGGATGCAGTTGTGTGATTGGGACCTAATGATGTGCTTACAAACTCGCTGTTAGGTAACTGCATGACTAAATACCTATTTTGCACAAGGAAATGTGGGTTTTGAACAAGCAATGAGAGATGGGCAGAAGTTTAGAGGCCTTTTTTAGAAACCCTGGCCCTTAACGTTACTGGAATGTCACATCTATCTTGCTTTCAACTGTATTAAATTAAAGTCTCCGGGCCTAATGTAAAGCCAACTGCTGCCAATGGAAGACTTTCTATTGCTACCAATTGGCTTTGGATTGGGCCCTGTGCCATGGAACCAACTGAACCTTGCAAACTACCCTCCATTAGAGCCATTAATAGTTCTTGGGTAACTGTGTATCAGACAGAAAATAGGTCTAGACAATTTAAGACATTTCTCAGTGCTCTATGGAAAGTTTCACACCAAATGTGAAACCAGAGTAGCTTGGTTCTCTGCTGTATTTGTGTTAAGTAGCTGCAACCCCCCAAGGCAGTCTGTGAACTATAGAGGAGCACAATAAAGCATCTGCAATGGGCAGATCAATTTGTTATACATATCAATATTATCATTAGTTAGCAGACATCTTAGCAGTGTTAATGGGCCACATGGAAAGCAAACCTGATGAAGTGATTGTTAAATCCCTCTCGCTGTTTCAGCCCAGAGCTGAGTCGCAGACCCCTGAGAACAGGGGTGAGCAGTAAAAACACCCCCAGTCTGATCCAGCACAGAGGCCCATGCAGTTGGATACCTGCGCCTGTGTAGAGTCCCAGTGAAGCTAATGCGGGAGTTCAGCGTAGGACCGGTGCCATGGCCTTTACGAAAGCAGCGCTACGCTCAGAGAGAGAAAGAGGCTGAGAGAGAGACAAAGCCACAGCAGGGCTCTGAGCGAGGCAGGCAGACTAATAATGCAGCACCTGCTGCTCACAGCTGTGCCTCCCAATTCTCCAGGGAGGATGCAGCAGACAGCACAGCCAAGAGACTTTGCCGTTCCATGGGTGATCAAACAGGCTTTTGGGTTTTTTGTTTTTAAACACAATCCAATCCTGCGCTGTTGCTCCTCTGCACCGGCATCAGAAGGGGGAAAAGGGTGCAAGCTGATGGGGGTTTCTGGGATTGTAAATATTGGAACAGATGCAGAAGCTCTCTGACGCTGGCCTGATCATGTTTATGAATCTAGTGCCTGTGTGTGGGGGTTGAGGCTAGGGCTGCAGTGAATGGCTCAGGAAGAGGGAGGGGAGGGAAGAAATTGCTCTTCTGTTTATCCACCCCGCTCTCTCACCCTCCACCTCCAAAACAGAAAACCCCACTCAGCTTGGTCAATTTCCAGCCTGGTGGTATGAAATGGATCTTTTAACTCATCTTCTGAAGACTGGGCCAAACACTTTTAAAATCTCTCTGGTTTAAAAAGGTCTCTTGAACCTCCCACCCACCCCAGTAGCATTTCACAAATCAGGAAACTCCCCTCAAACTGTGCACACAGATATAGGCTGAAATCTGACAGAAAAAAACCAAAACCACACGGTCCCTCCCCCATCACTCGCACCTCCCCACTATGATCCAGTTTCATTTATGGAGGTAGGCATCCAACCAGAGATCTCCAGATTTCTTTAGGGACCTATGGAAAGAGAAGAGAGGCATTAGTGAAGCAGGACTCACAGACCTGCCTGAACAGAGATTCTGCAAGGAGTTGCCCACTTCTGAATCCAAACATCATTCCTCAGGAGGTCAATATTCCTTCCTGAATGTTGGGTCTATAAAGCGAGATGAGCTGCCTATCTCATTCCATACACAACTTGACTTAAAACACAATGGGCACAATCTCAGGTAGTGTCCATCAGATTAACTCCACAGACTTCATGGGCATTACACTGAAAGTAGGTCAATATGTTCTGCAGCAGGAACTCCTTCTAGTTACAATTCAGGCAACACCCATGTTTCATCGTTTCAGAGAATTTGTATGTTATAGCCACGTGGCCACTGTCCTGAGAAACATCTGGCAGAATCCCCCTGTGCAGCAGAGCAGTACTTGATGCATCTGAGGGCAAGGGGGGGGAAGAGCAAAGGTGGTTTGTTGTCACTTTTCCATCCTTTTAAGGATTGCACTAACTTGTGCCAGCTTAGATTGGTTCCTTAGGGGCTGTTACTGAAGCCTGTTGTTTCCACATCTCCTCCGACCCCCAACAGGCCCCCTTTGGAGTAGGTGGTACAGAACCAGTTACGCTAACTCTTCACCAGCTGAGGATTCTGCAGTGGTGGAGTAATCCACCACTGCTTCTTCAGCACATAAATCCTGAGCATATGTGTGCTTTTAAGTGCCCTCTCTACTGCTGGAGGGGCACAAACACGACTCGGTGTGGCTCAAGATCGGGGCCTTTTGTCTTAAAGTGACTTAAAGTCCACCTATTTCCCCTATCCTGAGGATGTGCCACTTCTTCGGGAATGTCAGCTGAGCAATAGGAAGTTGCTGTCTGCAATAGTCAGGTGCAAAATGGCTACTTTAGGCCTGTAGCTCCTTGCTTTAAAGGGCCAGCCACCTGAATAGCATGGTATGAAAGGTGCTAGAAAGGGGTGAACACCTCTTGGGGGAATTCAGTGGTGACTTGGTAATCATCGAGCAAGTCACTCCTGATTTCTCCTTGTTTGAGGGCCAGGGTGGAAGGAGTCTGTGGGTTAGAGAGTTGGAACCTGCTGTTTCTGAAACAGCTTTGTCCTTTTCTTCTCTATGACATTATGCCAACTGGGGATCCGGCTCAGAAATTGTTGTTGCTCCACTGAAGTCAATGGAGCGATATCATTGCTACAGTAAAAATCCAGACGCTTTTTAGATTGGTGCAAAAAGATTATCACTCCTACAGCAAACAAACAGTTTACAGGGCTGATGCCACTGCTCTCGGCACAGATACCTATGAAGCAGAGGGTTTTTTTTCTATTAAAACGGACAAGAGGTTACTGGAAGGCAGGCACTGGCAATACAGGCTGCATCCCCCCGTGAGTAGTACTCAGGCCCCTTACCCAACGATGTCTATGAATGCCTTGCCAAGAGATTTCTCTTCATAGTGGACTCCGTACTTGGTGCACAATGACTTCACCAGTGGGGCAATCTTGCAGTAATTGTGTCGTGGCATCATGGGAAACAGGCTTGAATAAAGAAGTAGAGAGAGCCTGAGAAAAACCTAGCGACAGACCCCTGGAAACAGACACTTCTTTCTGCTTCCTCTTAGGGCTAATTACTGCCTCCTTCTCTCCAAGCAAAACAGGCAGACAGAAAAGAGCGAGAGGGAGAAATCCAGGCTTTAAAGAAATGCTCTTGAAAATTGAATGTATTGATTCCCATTCCTTCTGTCTTGCCCCAGAACAAAAACGTACTTAGAAAGAATGAAAGATCAGGTTAGAAAACAGGGAGTGTTAGAAAAATGAGGAGTGAGGAACCCTCAGTTGATCTACTGAGATTGCTGTCATAGAATCATAGAATATCAGGGTTGGAAGGGACCTCAGGAGGTCATCTAGTCCAACCCCCTGCTCAAAGCAGGACCAACACCAACTAAATCATCCCAGCCAAGGCTTTGTCAAGCCAGGCCTTAAAAACCTCTAGGGATGGCGATTCCACCATCTCCCTGGGGAACCCATTCCAGTGCTTCACCTCCCTCCTAGTGAAATAGTGTTTCCTAATATCCAACCTAGACCTCCCCCACTGCAACTTGAGTTGCATTCCCTTTGGACAACAACTAATCGTCTGTTGACAAGCTAAATTGTCTGGAAGCTCATAGACCAGACAAACAGATAAAGAATCTGTGGTCTTGTTATCCTCTAAAAGAAAAGGAGTACTTGTGGCACCTTAGAGACTAACCAATTTATTTGAGCATAAGCTTTCGTGAGCTACAGCTCACTTCATCGGATGCACTATCCGATGAAGTGAGCTGTAGCTCACGAAAGCTTATGCTCAAATAAATTGGTTAGTCTCTAAGGTGCCACAAGTACTCCTTTTCTTTTAGAGGATACAGACTAACACGGCTGTTACTCTGAAACTTGTTATCCTCTGCTGCTCTGTTGGGTTCTCTTTCATTCCCTAAGTCAACTTCCGGGTTCTTCAGTCTTACTCCATATGACCTCTCCTCTAGTTTTTGTATTGTCATAGACAGCATTTTGCATAATTGATCTTATCTTTTGACATCTTTGCTGAACTAGGGTACCTAGAACTGCAGATAGTCCTATGCAGTTGCACTAAAGCTACATAAATCAGAGGCTGGGAAGAGGCAGAGGGAATTACTGAAGTGAGTAGAAACACTCCAAACCAAATGAGCCCAAGGACCTGATTTAATGGCCATTTTAATCAATGAGTCCTGAATCAGACTCTAAATTAAGATTGTGAGGGTGAAAGGGGAATTTGCTGGTGGCAACAGGTGAAAGTTATTTGTGTTTAGTGGTGACATGAGACGATGACTGCAGTTGTTTCTTCTGATTTCATGCATGATGTTCCTGAGGTCTCGTTTCCTTCTCTGCTCACTGCCGCCCCATAATGCTTGCACCCCTTCCTAAGTCCTGCCCTGATTGGCCAGGTGGTGACCTGGTTGTGTCCATAAGATTCCTTCCCATCCCCCCTGGGCCCATACTCACTGGTGCTCGATTTGGAAGTTCAGGTGCCCTGTGAACCAGTCATTGAAAAAGGACTGCTCGATATTACAGGTAGCTGCCAACTGCAAAGACAAAATGCCAACAGTGAATTTTAATGAAGCCTTGGCCTAAAAGCAATTGGTATAGGGCTCTTCTTCCTGCATATTACAGAAGGCAGAGGGGGTACTTCAGACCAAGCAGTCGTGTGCACCTTTACTGCACTACCAAGCTGTTGGATGAAATATTCTCTCATGCAGCTTCTCCTGCACTGGCTGTATTCCCTATACTTCTCTAGACCAGTGGTTCCCAAACTTGTTCCACCGCTTGTGCAGGGAAAGCCCCTGGTGGCGCAGGCCGGTTTGTTTACCTGCTGCGTCCGCAGGTTTGGCCGATTCCAGCAGCTCCCATTGGCCTGGAGCAGCGAACCGTTGCCACTGGGACCCGGGATCGGCCGAACCTGCGGATGCGGCATGTAAACAAACCGGCCCGGCCCACCAGGGGCTTTCCCTGCACAAGCGGTGGAACAAGTTTGGGAACCACTGCTCTAGACCAATCCCATCTGGTCACTGCTGACCTACTGTATGTTCCCCTGATGCGCCCTGGGACTAGAGACCAGGAAGACCACCTCAGTAACTGGCAAAGAGGCTAATGGTGCCAGGCCAGTTAAACTACTAGGGTGTTCATAGTCTCAGCCTATCTTGGAAATGGCTCTTAGGTCCAAGGTGTGCAGAAAACCACATTGCAGGTTGTCCTGTGATCCCTCATGATAACAGGGCTGATGTCAGGGTGTTCCCACTTGTTTAGATCCCTATCTTTTAGTTATCGTAATAGTCCCTCCCTATCTCCAATCACAAGTTGCTCCTGAGACGTTCATCCCTTCTGAGCCAGAGGCAGATTGACAGAGAGGGCTGGGAGCACTAAAAGAAGAGTGACCAACTCCCCTGGGAATAACCACATCCTCTTGCATGGCTCCACTAGCCTAGGAAGGAGAGAAGGCTGCAAGGCATCAGACCCAGGTCTTTGTCACCAGAGAGGCTTGATCAGGGATTCTCTCAAGTTTCGGAAAGTGAACTGCACGTGTGAGGCAGCATAGGGGTTGCCATACTGCCTCAGGTTCATCTAGTCGGTATCCTGCCTTCAGCAGAGCCTATACCCAATGCTTCCGAGCCAGGCAAAACAAGAGGCCATTGTACATCTAGCCAGCTGTGTAATACTACGACTTTGTGGGAGGTGGGGGGTGGAAGGTTCCCTTCCCAGCTGCACACAGATCATCAGCTGAACCCTGAAGCATGAGGTTTGAACAAGCTGGGAACATTTGCTTAGCTGGCATAGCTACCATTGTTATTCATGAGCATACAATTACACAGTCTTTCTTAAAATCCTCTTACATTCTTTTCCTTGCTAAGCTGTGGCAGTGAATTCTGCATGACGACTGCATGAGCAATAGGTGTTTCCAAAGAACTCAGCTTAAAACCACATCAGTGTCAGATTTGCTCTTTCTCCAAATCCCCCCATCCAACAAAACAGGTAAGCATGTGCTTCACTTCATACACATGAGTAGTGGACTACAGTGGGATTATTTACATGCTTAAAGTTAAGCAAATGCTTAAGTGTTTACTGGATCAGGACCCAGTAGAGAGATGGTGACTGCCAGACTTTGAAAGCTATCCCTTGCGGGCCACAGTAGATACTGTAACCTGATGTAGGAGATGCATTCTGCACTCAACTCAGTTACTTCCTACTGATGTTATTGGAAGTATTTCTGATTTACACCAGTGTAATGGAGAGCAGACGCAGGCCACGTAAGAGCTGAATTAGTCTTAGAACACTGCAGGTAGGAGGCATGGTATGTATATATATATGGGTGTATATGTTTGGTGACAGGTTTCAGAGGAACAGCCGTGTTAGTCAGTAAAAAAACTTAGAGACTAACCAATTTATTTGAGCATGAGCTTTCGTGAGCTACAGCTCACTTCATCAGATGTATACCGTGGAATACATACGGTATACATCTGATGAAGTGAGCTGTACTCAAATCATGCGGTAGTCTCTAAGGTGCCACAAGTACTCCTTTTCTTTTTATGTTTGGTGAGTCTGTGGAAGGAGCATTGGCCTGCTAAACCCAGGGTTGTGAGTTCAATCCTTGAGGGGGCCACTTAGAGATCTGGGGCAAAAATTGGAGATTGGTCCTGCTTTGAGCAGGGGGTTGGACTAGATGACCTCCTGAGGTCCCTTCCAACCCTGATACTCTATGATTCTAAGGCATTTTGAGCCATTGCAGCTGCTATGATTGGTTTTCACATGATGTGTTCAGAATTCGTTATTCCTGAACAGTAAAAGTTAGAAAGACATTGGGCCAGGTCCTCAGCTGGTCTTGTATATCTCCACTGAAGTCAAAGAAACTAAATTGACTTACACCTGAGGATCTGGCCCATTGATTTACATGGAGTTACTTCTGATTTGCACACCTGTGTGTCAACGCACTTTATGAAGGATGATTGTTGTGAAGCCCCTTGAGCCTTGCACTTCCCCAGACCTGAATGAGGAATGCTTTAATTAGCTCCTCAAAATGTATCAATTCAGGGGACAGATTCAGCACACAGATTTGGATTTCCATCTCCTCATAGTCAGCCTTACTCCCTATAGGAGAGAGTTGGGGGGAGGAGGGGGAAGGGGGAAAGGGGGGAAAGGGTCCTAGACAGATACCCCAGGCTATTATGTTGTAAAACTGCTAAACTGGGCTCAAACTAAATGTTGGGGACAGGTAGTCAATGATAATCCAGCTGTTCTCTGAAGGGCAAGTGAATTTCTAACCTATTATGGGACATTAATATCCCAGCCATTACCTGAGAGCTGAGCCAGTCTCTGTGCTTCTCACAGTCAATTTCCATTGGAATATGGTTCATCTGTGTGACCCACACAAACCAGTGACTCTCCAGAAACCTTCAAAAGGAAGCATAAACATTCACAGCGCAGATCAGGCTATAATCTGTGCAGCTTGCCATCCTCATATAGGGTAGTGCAGGTAAGGCCAACAGTGATAACAAAGGGAGTGGGGAGAGGGGGTGTACAGGCAGCAGCCATGTTGTACACAGAGGAGGCATAGGATACAGGGGAGTATTTCCCAAGATGAGGGAGCAGGCAGCTTTCTGATTCTGGACAATGGAAGGAATCAGTTCTGCAGTAGGTTTTTCTTGCTCTGTTGGGGCTCCATTTTAGGTCTAGGCGTTAACATGATTATTAGGATACCTAACTGTATTTCCCTTAGTGGCTATCTCCCTTGATCTCGCATTCTCACTGGGGGATTGCTCTTTCGCACTACCCTGCCTTTACAAGCTTTGATTCACCCCTTAGTTTGTGATACATACGGGGATACCAGTATGGATAAAATAAAAACTGACCTGGAAACACTCACTCAGAATGAACCTTTTTGATCTGTTCAATTTCCTGGTGGACACGTGTTCTCCTCACAACACCCTCCTCCCCCAATCATTGCTAGGTTTCTGGTTGTCAGTCTTAGCAAAGAGATCAAGAATGGAATAGACCAGTGGTCACCAACCATAGATTCATAGAAGATTAGGGTTGGAAGAGCCTCAGATCATCTAGTCCACCCCTCTGCTCAAAGCAGGACCAATCCCAACTAAATCATCCCAGCCAAGGCTTTATCAAGCCAGGCCTTAAAAACATCTAAGGATGTAGATTCCAACACTTCCCTAGGTAACCCATTCCAGTGCTTCAACACCACCCTAGTCAGATAGTGTTTCCTAATATCCAGCCTAGACCTTCTCCATTGCAACTTGAGACCATTGCTCCTTGTTCTGTCATCTGCCACCAGTAAAAACAGCCTAGCTCCATCCTCTTTGGAATCCCCCTTCAGGTAGTTGAAGGCTGCTATCAAATGCCCCCTCACTCTTCTCTTCTGCAGACTAAACAAGCCCAGTTCTGTCAGCCTCTCCTCGTAAGTCATGTGCCCCAGCCCCCTGATCATTTTCGTTGCCCTCCACTGGACTCTCTCCAATTTGTCCACATCCTTTCTGTAGTGGGGGACCCAAAACTGGATGCAATACTCCGGATGTGGCCTCACCAGTGCCGAATAGAGGGGAATAATCACTTCCCTCGATCTGCTGGCAATGCCCCTACTAATACAGCCCAGTATGCCATTAGCCTTCTTGGCAACAAGGGCACACTGCTGACTCATATCCAGCTTCTCATCCACTGTAATCCCCAAGTCCTTTTCTGCAGAACTGCTGCTTAGCCAGTCAGTCCTCAGCCTGTAGCGGTGCATGGGATTCTTCCGTCCTAAATCCTAAACCAGTAGACTGCAATTGACTGGTTGATCCTGGAGCCTCTGCCAGTTGATCGTGATCTCCAGTTGCTAAAAGTCCGGCAGCACAGCAGAGCTAAGGCACGCTCCTTGCCTGCCCTGGCCCTGCGTTGCTCCTGGAAGCAGCCAACACACTCCTGGCCTGCAGCCCTTGGAGGTGGGGGTGGGCAGGGGTTTCCACGCGCTGCTTCTGCCTGCAAGCACCGCCCCCGCAGCTCCCATTGGCCGGGAACAGGGAACTGGCGCCAATGGGAGCTGTGGGGGTGGTGCCTACAGGGAGGGGCAGCACGTGGAGCTATGTTCCCCCCCCCCCCCCCCCCACGTGGTGCATGTGAAGAAAGATCCAAGAATTTTTCTAAGGTTGTGATGTTGGCCTGGATGGGTTTTTATACACCATATTTGTTTCGCATGGTGTTTTAATCCAGCAACTGAAGGGTAATATGGGCCAAATAGCTTAATCAGAACAATCTGAATTTGCTGTCTTCCTCCTACTGGCTAGAAGTGCCTGGCCTCATATCAAAAGTAAATGCTTTTATCTGGCTTGCATCTGCAGCCTGAATAGAAGTGGTAACTCAGTATAAGAATTCTGGCTTCCCTGACCAATGAGAGAGCAGCTAGGGAGAGATTTCATAACGGATTAGAATGCTGGTTTGCTCTATAAAACCCTTGGACTCTTTCCTTATTGTCTTAAATTTAAATAAGCAATTTTAAGGAAGCTTTGTGATGCTTCATTAACCACATTACTGGGAGGAAAGCTGGTCTTGTTGCATTTGTGATCCAACGGAAACAAAGTAGTACTGGAAATCTAACTACAATGTCTGTCACTGTGAGATTTTCAACTGGATTTGACACAAAAGAGGCTGGCTAAACCTTTAAACATATGGATGATTATCATGACTTCATGAAATCTTTTGAAGTTCATGCTTCTCTAAGGGCCTGAACCAAAGCCCACTGATATCAATGGGAATTTTTCCTAACTCATGATCAGAGCCATTAAAATAACATGGGAGGTGGAATTCCGATCCTATAGTTTAAAGATTTTTACACAGATTTGCAAAAATTCTTTTAAAACATTATTTTTCTAAGGACCCTAACAATGGATCTAAATTCAGGCCAGCCTTTGGGCATGAGCTAGCCATCACAGTCACTGCTTCCAGGGTGGAGATGTCAATACAATCCTATGGTCTGGAACATCAGTCCAGTCACTCATAGTACTGTCTCTGTACTGGGGTGTAGAAGTGAGTGCTTGGGTCAGGGGCCATCCAGCAAAGCATGCTACATACAGGGGATCCAAGTGGGGGACAGCATTTGACTTCTCGCTCCCTGAGCTGGCAGGAGCTGGGTATCATGTGAAGGCAGCACATTCAGTTCCTAGGGGAGGGAGCTCCCTGCCTCCTTCCTGAGTTACTTTCCAGCTGACTCGGGAGGGGCTCTGAAAGGAACCACATCCAAAATTCCTCAGGTGACTTAGACCCAGTGTGGGAGCTTTACATGGGTGGGAATGAGTGAGGAAGGAAGGAGGGAATGGTGCTTCCCATCTCCACATGCCATCACCACCACTAAGGATTTCCTGATGATGAGAGAGACTAAACACCAGAATCAAATCTTCTGGAGGAGATTGAGGCAAGAGAAGCCAGTCAAGGCAGTGGGATGTAGCACAGATTGGGGTAAATGAGTGGAGAGAATGTTGATTAATAAGGGAGAACATCATGGCATAGATGAGTTAGCTTGACATCGCTCATCACGTGGGATGGGTGGGGCCCATGTCTGGAGGTAGGGGAGAGCAGTGTCTCCTACCTGACAAAGGTGAGGAGAAACAGGGATCCCAGAACTCCATAGAAAGGGATGTACATGATGAAATAGCGCATGTAATAACTGAAGGCCCAGGCCAGGTCCTAGGGAAAGAAAGAAGAGATTATGCATTACAAGCAACTTACCCTCCCCTCACCCCCAACAACACCCCTCCTTAAGCCAGGTCTCTTTACAGAGTGGACAGAAGCCTCGTCTCTCCCTCCCCAGATAAGGTTCTCTTCACCATCCACGTGAGACACAGTTTGACACTCAGAGCAGAGACAAGCTTTCACTTACCGCCCAGAACCTGCGTCTGATCATGGTCATGATGATTTGCATTTGGAAGTACACGGGGATGAGGAGAGGTGGGAAAACTGAAAGGCAAACAAAAGAGAGCAGATGAGGGAGACAGATGTGTAGCATGAGGTGAACAGACATGCTGGGGACCTGAAAATACGAGTTGAGGCAAGAGCTTGTGATGGGGAAACCAGAGCTCTGCTACTGTCTTTCAGCAAAGGGAGGAAGTATTTCCTCCATCTCCTGCTCACCTTCTGGTATGGAAGATTCTAGACTAACAATGAGCAAGCCCAGGACTTCTGCTGACATGTTTATCTACTGGGGGATGCCTCCTAGACTTAGTCACTTGTCTCACTTTATTTAGCCTCTTTGGTGGTGGTAAGGATCCATGGATCTCAATGATGATGTTATGGAGGAACTGAGGTGCAGGCTTCTATTGCAGTTAAGATGTGAAAGGGATAGCGGGTCCTGGATAGGGAGGGGTTAGTTAGGAAGAATCGCTCTGCTGAGGCAAAAGGGAGCCACAAGGTAAAGATGCATCCCCTCGATCTCACCATATAGGGAAGCATAGGGGGCCCGGGCATACTCACCTAGGAAGAAGTACTCATGCTGGTGGTTGTAAGGTAGGTATTTCAGCTTCTTCTTGCCATACTGGAGGGGGAGATAAATGACAGAGAACTGTCTCAGCTCGTTACACCCATGGATATGAGAAAACTCTCCACAGGAGGAGACTCTCAATGACACCTCTTTATATTTGGTTAATTCTCTTTAGTCAGAGCTGGGGATTTATGGCCTAATCCTACCCTACTGAAGGCAATGAGGGTTTTACCATTGCTTTACAGGGAGCAGGAGCAAGCCCTTAGAAAGCTGTCTTAGCATACAGTACTTCCTTCTCCAAGGCTATGTCTAGAGTAGGAGAATATGTCATGTTTTAAGATGTGTTAACTGATTGTTGTCAGGGTTGATCTTGCCCTGCTAATATGTTTAATCATGACTTCCCTGTCTACACTAGAGGCAAGTTCCCATTTAAAATCATTCAACTTGAGTACTTATTTAGCCCCTGTTACCGAAGTACCTGAGCACCTCTCAGTCTTTCATGTACCATGAGGTAGGAAATGCTATTATCCTCCTGTTACAAAGGGGGAACTGAGGGAGATATACTGAGGCCCAGAGTTTTAAAGGTATTGCTCCACTCAGGGCTTGTCTACACTACATCCGGGATCGATGCTGCGGCGATGACCGCCAATCGCTTGGATGTCGACTCCAGTACGCCACCAGATCGAGAAGAGGAAGGGGAGTCGATGGGAGAGCGTCTCCCGTTTATACAGCGTAGTGTGGACCCCACAGTAAGTAGATCTAAGCTACGTCAATTTGAGTTACGCTATTCACGTAACTCAAATTGTGTAACTTAGATCGACTTTCCCCTTTAGGCCTCAGTGTTGCAATGCCTAACTGACTTAGGAGCCTAAGTTTTGTTTTCAAAAGTGACATAGGCACTTAGGAGCCTGAGTCTCATTGAAATGCAAGTTGTCTAAAAATGGCTGGGTTTTGGCTTCCAGTTTTCATGAAAGAGATGGAAAATTGTGGCCACACTGAAAAGGTACTGTGACATTTTTAGTCAAAAGCCACATTTCACCAAATAAAATATTTTGAGGAAAAAATATCAACCAGCTGTAATAAACATGCACGAGTCTCATAACCATCCTTCAGGCAAGAGAAAGGAAGGTCTAATGAGTAAGGCACTAGAGTGGGACTCAGGAGATCTCAGGCTAATTCTCAGCTCTACACAGCTTTCCTGAGTGACCTCGATCCAGTCATTTAATTTCCTTGTGCTTCAGTTCCTCATGTGAAAAACAGGGATGATAATTCTTCCTTTCTCCTCCTCCCCTTTGTCTGTCTTATCTATTTGGGTTGTATACACCTCAGGGTCGGGACAGGGCTTAGAACAATGCAGGGCTGATTTCAGTCTCTGCCTCTAGGCACTGCTCTCACATCAATGAGAGGCCAGGGTGCTGTAATTGCAACTAAAGTACTTTATCATATGTCTACACAGCAAAAAGATCCAGTGGCAGAGAGTCCCAGAGCTCAGTCAACTCACTTGGACTTGAGCAGCCTGTGCTGTGGGGCTAAATATAGCAGTGTAGATGTTTGGACTTGGGCTGAAGCCAAGACCCAGGTCTCGGAGCCTGGGTTCCAGCCCGAGCCCACGGCTCTCGCCTGAGCCTGAACATCTGCCCTACTATTTTTAGCCCCACAAGGCTGAATAGTTAACCCAAGCTCTGAGACTTGCTGTTGCAGGATTTTTCTTTTTTGTGTATCAATGTACCCTAAGGTACAATTCAAGCCATTAAAACTGCACCTCTGCAATGTTACATTTGAGATTTAAGTATACCGACATCAGGAAATTCATAATTGGTCTCCCCACAGCATCTATCACTCAGACAAACTGTGCTGAAGTAACAACTTTTAATACTGTGTGCAGTCCTGGCTGATACGGCTTTTACTGCAGTTTTTTACTGTATCACACTGCAGGCCTGCAACAATCAGTGGAGAAAGTTCCTCAGTGACATCAGTACAGTTATGGCAGTCCAGATCAATGACAATAATAGCCATAAAAACAGTGGGCATGCACAAGAGAGGGAGGAATCAGATCAGTGGCTGTTTGGTAGTCTCCAGTATGTGAACTAAATCTAGGGTTTCCATCCAGTTTCCAGAGGACAGGTGTCCCCATCACAAAATACTGTCACCAATTGGTAGTGATGGTAGGTGGCAGTGGCAGCAGAGAGGCCAAAGATTGACTGGCCCTAAAAAGCCCTCTCCCCTCTGAGTGATCCCCCCATCTGGGTTAAGCCATAAGAATGGCCATATTGGGTCAGACCAATGGTCCATCTAGCCCAGTATCCTGCCTTCCGACAGTGGCCGATGCTATACTCTTCAGAGGGAATGAACAGAACAGAACTCAGGGAAATCACTGAGTGATCCATCCCGTCATCCACTCCCAGCATCTGGCAGTCAGAGGCTTAGGGATATCCACAGCATGGGACTGTGTCCCTGACCACCTTGACTAATAGCCATTGTTGGACCTAAACTGGGAGGAGTCGTAGATATGCTGGAGGGTAGGGATAGGATACAGAGGGATCTAGACAAATTAGAGGATCAACAAAGACAAGTGGAGATGCACTTAGGACAGAAGAATTCTATGCACTGCTATAGACTAAGGACAAAGTGGCTAGGCAGCAGTTCTGCAGAAAAGGACCTAGGGGTTACAATGGACGAGAAGCTGGATAGGAGTCAAGAGTGTGCCCTTGTTGCCAAGAAGGCTAACAGCATTTTGGGTTGTATAAGTAGGCGCATTGCCAGCAGATCGAGGGACGTGATCATTCCCCTCTATTTGGCATTGGTGAGGCCTCATCTGGAGAACTGTGTCCAGTTTTGGGCCCCACACTACAAGAAGGATGTGGACAAATTGGAAAACGTCCAGCGGAGGGCAACAAAAATGATTAGGGGGCTGGAGCACGTGATTTATGAGGAGAGGCTGAAGGAACTGGGATTATTCAGTCTGCAGAAGAGAAGAATGAGGGGGGATTTGATAGCTGTTTTCAACTACCTGAAAGGGGGTTCCAAAGAGGATGGATCTAGACTGTTCTTATTGGTAGCAGGTGACAGAACGAGGAGTAATGGTCTCAAGTTGCAGTGGGGGAGGTTTAGGTCGGATATTAGGAAAAACGTTTTCACGAGGAGGGTGGTGAAGCACTGGAATGCGTTACCTAGGGAGGTGGTGGAATCTCCTTCCTTAGAGGTTTTTAAGGTCAGGCTTGACAAAGCCCTGGCTGGGATGATTTAGTTGGGGATTGGTCCTGCTTTGAGCAGGGGGTTGGACTAGATGACGTCCTAAAGTCCCTTCCAACCCTGATATTCTATGATTCTATGAACTATACTCCATGAACTTATCTAATTCTTTTTTGAACCCAATTATAGTTTTGGCCTTCACAACTTCCCCGGCAATGAGTTCCACAGGTTGACTGTGCGTTGTGTGAGGAAATGCTTCTTCACACAATGATGGGGCAGTGTTGGGAAGCTTGGACTGCTGCTGACTGTTCTGTGGGTAGGGAAGAGTTTCCTGTGCTATCAGTCCAATACTCATTGTCAGTTGTCTAGGGTTCTCAGCTCAGTGTCCCCATCTGGGGTTCCTTTGCTTTAAACCTTTGATCTGCACGCTCATTCCTGTTTCCTTCTTTTGTAGTCAACTGATTACTGGGGACCTCTGTCCCTTTCTTCATCTGAGGGGGTGTTCCTTTAGTTCTTCGTGGTCTCCACTCACCACTCCAGAGTTGGAAATAGCCCAGTCCCTGTCAGCAGTTGTCTGGGGTTCTCCAGACAGTGTTCCCGTACTTGTGTTTTCCTCTTACTTGTTTATCTCACTATTTCTCCCCACTCCCTTGTTCATTTCCATCTTGATTGACCTCTGTTCCATTTTGTTCCCTTCCCTCTGATTGAGGGGCATCTTCCAGGGACCTGGTCCATGTCTTCATCCGAGTTCAAACAGGCTAACACCTTTCACCTGTAATACAGTCACATGGCCGGCGGGGCATTGGTGATTTCAGGAATTGCAGATTTATGAGAAGGGAATTAAGTGCAGTCCAAGTTCTGCAAGGCTGCATCAGGGTAAGGTTTCAATATACAACAGTGAAAGCACATCCAAGCACTGATATACGTCAGACACTCATCTTGGAAGACAGAACCAATTCCTTCATTGCTATAAGCACCCCCATTCTGCTCAGCTATTTGTGAAGTGATGGGATCATCATCCTCAAAACCTAGCTATCAGGGGCCAGCTCTTCAAATGGTGTAAGTCAGCAAACTCCATTGACGTCAATGGAGTAGCACCAATTTACACCTGTTGAAGATCTGACTCCAGATATTTAGTTACCATAGCGTAATGGTTGGTTAGTGGTTTGTTATGGTCCATTCGGGGTGACTCATTTCAGTGACATATGGTTAGACCTTTCTGTCTTCATAGAACACTTTCAGTACCCATGCATGTAATTCACCTTTTAGGCTGCCTCTCCACCATGTATCTGGAATTAGCCTCTTTGTGGCATAGAAGTGGGTTGTGGTGGCATGAATGTGCCCCAGTATTTTCTTTTATGTCTCCCTATATTCTGTTTGTTGCAAATGCCTTTGCTGTGGTGTTTCAGATCCACACATTGGCTTTATAAGCTTTTTTTTACTGTATGTCCTTATGCTGATACGTCATATACCACTATTGATCTTTATTATACCCTTCCCTTGGGTTTTTCTGCAATACAGACAGTAAATATTGTGGCCCCAGAGAATTGGATTTAATTGCATTACCTTAATAGATACAGTTACTGTGTGCAGTATGGCTGGCTCATAGTTGCCTTGGGAACCATGGCTCTGAACCTGAGCTGTTGTAAATCAATATAGCCCCATTGACTTCATGGATTTACATAGTCAAGTATCTGGCCCCCTGTCTTTTGAATTTACAGATTTTTGCAGAACTAGGTTGTGTCCCAAGGACACCACCCATGGCTGAATTGCCCCAGGAAGGAATTACATCTCAGGGAGCTGCAATTCCCTCCACATTCCCCGCTTGCTTCAGGGGTATAATTACCATTCACCCTGCTATGCTGGCTGAGCTCTGCTGGGTGGTGGATTGGGAAATGCAGCCAAAGCTTCACTGATTCCCTGCCCCACCCCTACTTGCTCCAGTGGGGAAGTAAGTAAGCATGCAGTATCTTTTACCCCTGCATGACCATACCCAAAGCCTGGACTGCCCATAAAGAGCACACATGGGGGATTCCTCTCCCCTATGCCCCTATAAGGTCATGAAGTACAGCCAAGCCTTTGGTGTTTAACACATCAGCACTACAATTGCATTAGTGTAGGTCTTTTCCCCCCCCACCCCCCCGACAGAGTTTCCTCATGTTTTTCCCCAAGCAGAAGACACAAGAGGAAACCATTATTCTGATGTTACCATGCAATCTGCTCTAAAGAGAATTTGCCAAGGCTCCAATGAAGTGAGGATCCCTGTTTGTACACAAATATTGTAAGGCATTTCTTTCAATATTAGATAAACTTTTAAAATGAATTTGCTTTGACTGCTCACAAGAGGTGCCTGTCCTCACAGAAGTACTAAACCAAGGAGAAGTTGGAAATATCAGAAAGAAGCCCAGTTTGGGTTAAGTCAGCAAAGGAGTATTCTGCACCGTTTTTTCCACACTTGGATATCTCAGAACAACGGGATTAAAACTGACCCTATTTCTGCGTTCTCTTCACTCTCATTCCCTACCTCTCAAGCCACCTAAACATATGATCACCTTTGGGCTGGAAACAAGCATGAGAAATTATATCGGCCACTGAATTTTCTGGCCCTCATATCCTCTCAAATTTTGACCCAAACTCCTGTCAGAAAATATAGATGCAGGGAACTGGGGTGTGTCCCTTCAACTTTTCCTCAAAGACAAAGTCTTAACAGCAAAGGTCTGGTCCTCGAGACACTGATCAACCCCTGTCCTCACAGAAAAAGTTCTCTAAAGCCCACCAGCAACCACCACTTCCTTGTCTTACCTCAACGGGCTGAGAATCTCCCAGGACAAGAATATGCAGCATGTTCACATCTGGGTCCTTCTTGAAGATATTGGGCTTGGCATGATGCTGGAAGTGACGATGATTCCACCAGTTTGCTGAGGCACCCTGGGAAGAGGAAGGAAATGTTTAGTCCATGGGGAGGCATGGTTCCCACTAATGGAGAGATGATCCCAGTAGCGTAGCTGCGGGGGGGAGTGGGGCAGCGGCTGCTCCCCCACCGAGCAGAAGTGGTGCCTTTTTAATTCTTTGGTGCCTTTTTAATTTTTACTCACCCGGCAGCACTCCGGGTCTTCGGCAGCAGATCAGGCGGTGCTCCGGGTCTTCAGCAGCACTTCATAGAATATCAGGGTTGGAAGGTACCTCAGGAAGTCATCTAGTCCAACCCCCTGCTCAAAGCAGGACCAATCCCCCAATTTTTTGCCCCAGATCCCTAAATAGCCCCCTCAAGGATTGAACTCACAACCCTGGGTTTAGCAGGCCAATGCTCAAACCACTGAGCTATCCCTCCCCCCTTAAACGTCGGGTCCTTCACACTCGCTCCAGTTTTCGGCAGCATTGCAGTGGCAGGGGTGGGGGGTGTCCTTCAGTGCCGCCGAAGACCGGAACGAGTGAAGGACCCAATGCCAAAGTGCTGCTGAAGACCTGGAGCGCCGCCTGACCCGCCGCTGAAGACCCGGAGCGCCGCCGGGTGAATACTAGCGGGTGGCGCCATTTTCTTATCTCCGCTCCCCCTGTTTTCTCCACCTGGCTACGCCACTGGATGATCCCCCTGCTGTGATATTCATTCACTTGTATAATCTAAACCACCCATGGCATATAGTTTATGTCCAAACTCTTAGCTACCTTTGAAATTGTTGTAAGTGTGAAGGGGCTAAATCCTCTGCTTTGACAGGCTGATTGGTACCAGCTGAGGATCTGGATCTGTCTGGATTATTATATTGTATTAAAATAATGCCACTCATGTTGAGAAAAAAGAAGTTAGCCTTGCTTACATGTAACTCCTAATATTTATATGCTGCAAAGACAGGCAGGCAGACATCCCACCAGCAGGGGAAGCCCAAGATAAACAGCATCCTTTACCCAGAGCTCTGTTGTCATCGGTGCCATCACCCATTTCATTGATGATGTCAAGCATGACATAAGGCAGGCAAAGCTTATGCAGTGCAAGAAAGAATGTGAAAAGAATCCCTCTTTGCCCAATGGAAAAAACACAAAACTGGCCAGGAAAGAAATATTATTTTCCAGTGTCTAAGAAGGTTTTAATGGAGAGTATTAAAAAAAAAAAAAAAGGACTGGACAGTGTCCCATAAGGGTCCTATATCCTCATTTTCCTCTGGCACTTGTGAAACACAGTGCCAAGCTATCCCACTGCCAAGGATGCTCAGGCAGAAGGCCAGCAAAGCACTTGCCTTGTGACTGGTGATAAGCATTGTGGGCGGCTGGCTGCTTCCAAGAATTCAGAGTGGACAGAGAGCCTCCATCTCACAAAGCTGCCTTTAGTTTAGTCATGTTAATGAGCATTCGGAGGTTACTTGCCCCTGCTTACACATGTTGGAAACCAGTTGTCCCAGGACTGGGCAATCTGAGAGCTCTGGTTGCTATGAATAACGGGGCATTGTTGGGAAGTTGGCAGTGAGGGAATAGCCAACCCCAACGTGGGAGCCCTCGTTTTTAGATTGCTGCAGTAAATTGCTTTGTGGTTTTTGGTGTTCCCTGTTCAGGACCTGCAAGTGATCATCTATAAAGTGAAGAAGGAGGAACACAGAGAATTGTGAGACGGGCAAAGGTTCAGGAATGCCCCTCCTCTCCCCCGGAAGGAAAGGAGATGTATCAGGTAGGCTATGCCAATCTAATCCTAAAAGATTATCCCCTATTCAGTGCTCTAGAGGAAGGGAAATCCTGTCTCTTCATCCCAGATCCCTGCTGATCTCTCTCTCTCTCTGAGCTATCATCTCTCTGCTCTGATATTTTGCCTGCCTCCTGTCTTGATTTCTTCTATACTGCCAAATATGCCCTGAAGAAGAAAATTCATCTAGACCCCAAATTTGGCAATGTGCTTAACTTTGTTCATGCAAATGAGGCTCTCCATATTTAATCCCTTTGCATACACCAAGAAGAATGGGCTTCTTCTGCTAGGACTCCCTATTTCCTCTCCTTGCATTAAAGCAGGCTGGGTAGCAATTGAGCATTATTTGTTCTGCTTGCAAATTGGGAAGTGCCTGGTCAGTACCACCCAAGCTGGGCCTCAAGAAAGAGGGGTAGAGGGACACCGTCACAAGGTGAGAACAGAGCTGTGGCCAAGGAGGTGACCTGTTGCTGTGGCTTTCAATAGATGAAGCCCCACCTTAGGTCTGGACACAGTTGTCTCACTGCTGCCTTTTTTTACTTCTTATTGCTAGTGGGGTCATTCCAGGCCTGTGGTTAAAATGGCCAAGGCCAAACTAAATGTGCATCTAATAACGCCTACCATTCCATCCCTTCCTACAAGACTCCCCACTGTAGGTGGATCCTTTCGCCAGCTGGGTTGTATAGGACTCTTGTGTTGGACCCTGTCCTGGACTGAAGTACTAAAATTGTCCCGAATGGGTGAAAGCTGGCAGGATGGTCATTTTAATCAATAAACATGTTACTCAGGCTTTAGGTAGGGAAAGGGGGGGCGGGAAGGGGAGTAAAGGAGATTGTATAATGCTTCATTTTAACATTCTTATGGGCCAGATCCCCAGCTGGCATAAATCAGCATAGTTCCATTTGTGTTACTGGAGCTATGATGATTTACACCAGCTGAGGATCTGGCTCCCCTATCTGAGCCTCACAAGAACTCCACCTGGAATCTGTCACTAATTCTTCCTCCAGGCTGCTGCTCCCCTCTGAAAGGGTGAGATCCGACTGGAGGGCTGGGGTGTATGGTTTTTACACCTACAGTCTGTGAAATGGGATGGAGTGGATCCCCAGTCTCCTTCACTGCAATCATTTTCCTTCTGCACAGTGTGTGCTGGCATCCAGCACACGACCTTTACCTTCAGGTGCCCGATGACAAACTTGTGGACAATATGGTTCCATATAGACTTCTTAAAGACAGAGAGGTGTCCAAAGTCATGCTGTAGCCACCCAGCCTGGGCCTGTAGAGGAAAAAGGACCAGGGGTGACAGGGCTGCTTGAAATCAAAGATAAGAAAAGGACACACAGAGTAGAAGGCAAGTATTGTGTGTCTGTATGAAATGTGCACAGTCCTATGCACAGAAAAAGCATGGAAGGGGGAGAGTTTTGTATTAATTTCATTGGTATTGGATCTACGGGAGGGGGACAAGAGACAGGCAGTGAGCTCAATGCATCTGAGTGTGAGGCAGTGAGTAGACTCACTAGGAGCAAGAGCAAGGCAGTGAGGGGGTCTGGGGGGTGCATGAGGTTCATGAATGTTCTTCCAAAGTGAGTGTTGTGATAATGAGGTACTCGGAACAACTGGATGCACTGACAGGTCACCTGTCATGGAAGCACAAGCACCCCCGTTACTCCGTGCTATTTCTCACCTGGGAGGTTGCAAGGATGCAGGAAAGGATAAAGGTTGTGATCCAGCCGGTGCCGTAGTATGAAACTAGTAACCAAGCCAAAGCTTCCATCATGATGATGTGACCCAGGTAAAGGGAGAAAAATAAGGGATCTGCTTTGAACAAGTTCATATCCTCTGCTGTCTTTCTCAGGGCCCGGAAATCATCCACCAGCTGGGGCTGCAAAATGGAAATGCAGGATTTAAGGTGCACCTTCTTTACATGTGTGAATGTGTCCATTCAAGCTTGGGCTTCCACACTACTAACCCCTGCCTGTTTTCCCCAGAATGGGAGAAGAATTAGTCTCTGTACTCATGCAGTCTTCAGAATTTCTACACTGCCCCACTCAGGATCCTGATCCGAGTCCTTACCCTGATGGGTCTTACCCCACCTTCTGAATTACAATTAAAATCCAGATCTTCAGCTGGTGTAAGTCACCCGAGACCCACTGGAGTCAATAAAGCTATGGTGATTTACACCAGCTGGTCCAACACCTCTCCATTTATCCAGTCTCAGTGTTCCGTAATTCATTCCATATAGGCTATGAAGGAACATCTCCCCTCTCCTTCGGGAAGAGAGAATTCAGTCTCTTCACTTATGCATAACCCTGAACCTCTGCTGATGAGAGACTAGAGTGCCAAGACAGCTCCATTCTCTTTGGGATGTGTTCAGTTAGCGTGCAGTCACTCATGAAAGCAGGTCAAGAGGTAATGCAGGTTAATGTAGTCACTGCTATTGTGCATGAAACAGGCATGTCATGAACTCAGTCGGCTAAAGAACAATACGGAGGAGAAAGGGTTTCACTTTAGGAGTCAGTTGTGTAGTGCACAGAGTCTGAATAATGAATGAATGGAACATTTGGGACTTGCATAGAGCTGGACACATTGACTGGGGTGGATAAAGGGCCCTGCTGTGTTACAGCTTCATAAGCACAGTGCTCAGAGAGAGCAGTTTGTTTCATCTCACCCACTGGGGTTATTGCCACTCACTCCATAAACGTGGCCACTTTCACAGACTTCTCCATTGCTGAGAGCTAATCAGGATAAGCCCATATGAAGTTCAGAGCAGCGTTTGCTCGGGCTGCATGGTCAATGGTATGGAGCAGAGGATGGAAGAGGGTTCAAATCTGCTTTGGATGACAAGGAGTCTCATTCTGGTGGCCTCATGGCCTTTTGTCTGTAGCACAAATTGACATGCATTACAGAATGATGGGCAGACCCAGGTCATGAGAATTTGAGCAACAGGGTTGTTGACTAGAGATGAACTCCAGCCACGAAGACTGGATCCAGATCTTGATCCATATTTATCCAAAGTTTGCAAGTGTTCAAATTGGTGAGTTTGAACTGGGCTCTTCTTTAGTTGTCACAGATCAAGCGTGAACTGCACAGGCAGAGCTGCTGAAAACCTGCAGGAGGGGAATAGCAGGGGGTGCTGCAGGTCAGGAGAAGTTGACCTAAGTATTGCCTATCCCTGCACCAGTCAATAGTGGGATATACACATGGCCACACAGAGCTGTCTGACTGTGGGTGTCTTTCCCTGCCGTTTCCTGTACTTGCTAGAGCTGTCTATTGTGAAGAAGGCTTGTGAATTATATGTAGTGGCTTTGCACACAGGAACCTGGAGGGCAGCTTTGTAGATAAATTGTGGAATGACCAGATTGTAGACTCTTCTCCAGAAACAGAGCCCACAGAGAGGGGTTTGCAGATACTCACATTTTTGCCTCGGTCCTGGCTAGGTTCACCTGGGGCAAGCTCTCCAATCAGTAATGGCTTGAGAAACTTCTGCACAAAGCTGGGGTTGAGGTGAAAGGCCCGGAAAGCATCCTGGAGTGGAAACACAGGCAGACAGATGGGATTCAATAAAAGCGATTGCTCACTGCACACTGGCTCCTTCCTGTTTGTCCCCAGCAATGTCTTCTCCCCAGGGTTTCCCCCACATTACCCCAACAGTTTCCCCAGTTCTGGTGTCAGTTCACTGTCAGTACCCACAATACGCAACTCTTTCAGTGTAGGGCTCCTGGTTCTAGAAGATGCTGCGAGAAGTAGATGAATGAATATGCAGTTTGAAGACAAAGGGCCAGATTTTTAAAGGTATTTAGGTGCCTAAAGATGCAGATAGGTGCCTAGTGAGATTTTCAGAAGCTCCTAGGTGCCTAATTCCCATTGAATTCAATGGGAGTTAGGCACCTAGGCAAAAAGAAGTCCAATATATCTTTCACCCCAATTAGAAGCTGTGAATTTGTCTGCCTTATGTATCAGAAAAACATCTCTCAATATGCAGATGATCAGTCTCATTCTTTCAATATAATGTCTCTAGTAAGCCCTAAAGTATATGAAAAGAAAGATATTAAATATAATCAAAGAATGTATGGATGATGTCCACTACATTTAGAGGAATGATTAAAGACTTTTGGGGTTTTCTTTCTAAGTGTTTGCACTCTATTATTATTATTTTTATTTGCATTACCAACAATATAAAAATAATAAAGTGGGACCCCATTGCACTGGGCACTATACAAACACCAGAACAAAAGGACACCAGAAGGAAAAAGACTATTGAACGGTATCTGCCCCTGACCTGTGTATAGCTCTAAAATATTCAGTGAAAATGCAACTCCAGGCTTGAAAGCTTGAATGCCCAAGCCTGAGCACCAGCCCAAGTTGTAACATCAAAGCACTGTCTACACAGCAATTTTTAATGCACTAGTTTAAGTCCTGCTAACACAAGTGTGTGGATCTGGCCTGGGAGACTCGCTCCCAGTGTAGACATACCCTAAAACATCCATAGTACTGAAACAGCAGTATGCCAAAGCACACTATGGAACTTTTAATGCACCGTAGCAGGTCCACCTAGCCAGTTAGTGCGTGGCAAGCTAGCATGCTATAGATTTACACTCTGGCTTGCCACAGACTAATTCTCTGTGTAGACAAGCCCTATGCAGCCTGCTCTGAGAAATACTGTGCAAGGTAAAAGTTGACCTCATAAAAACCTTGTGTTAAAATTAGTAAGCAAACACTTCCTGGACTCAGTAAAAAGGAGTTATCCAAATTAAATTCTGTTCAGATACTGGCTATAATATTTATCCAATTGGCAAATCCGATGGTTAGATTTCAGCTTTAAAATCTGACTGGAACCTCAGCAAATTCATAAAATTGACCCCCACTGATGCACCCAGAACATGCCAGCTCCCACACAGTGGAGGGGAGACAATAAATCCATTTATCAGAGAGGTTTTCTTCAGAGTTTTCAAGGTGTTGGATAGTTCACTCCTTACAATGTGCAAGGTTCTGGCTCTGCAACCCTGAGACCCTGGATGGGATGCAGAGGCCAAGTTGCTGAGTCAGCCAGAATTCTGCATGGGGCTCCCCCATCAGTGCACATTGCATGTGTGTAACAAATGCTCCTCTCCGTGCTTTGCCAGTTCCATTGATGGCAAAACCTTGACTTTTCCTCCATCCAACCCTTTCCTGCTCAGTTTTAGGTATCTAGCTCCCACAGGTGCTGGCAGGGAAAAGGGACTATATTTCTGATGGGATTCTGACCGGCACTTTAGTTTTACACACCCCTCCCTCCGCAGGATCTGGCCAGAATCTGGACCAAATTGGCAGTGGAGTGGGGAGTTTCTCAAAGGCAAGGATCCCTCCTTCCAGCTGAGTCATTTCTGTTACTGCAAAATTCTGGAATTCAATCCAGAATCTTCACAGAACTTCCATCCAGTGAATTTCAACAGGTCCACATGGTACTGAAATCTACTGTCACAAGATCTACTGTCACCAGAAACCTGCTTACTTGTTTAAATTGCCAAATTCCTTATTTATGATAGGTTTCAGAGTAACAGCCGTGTTAGTCTCTATTTGCAAAAAGAAAAGGAGTACTTGTGGCACCTTAGAGACTAACCAATTTATTTGAGCATAAGCTTTCGTGAGCTACAGCTCACTTCATCGGATGCATAATGCAGTAAGATCTTCTGCAAGATTGTAGCTCTGGCAGTTTTGCAGCTCTTGAAATCCACTCAGTTGAACAGCAGATTTGTTAATAGTAAGGATTCAGTGTGCTCCATTGAGAAGAGTCCCACTGAATCCTTACTGCTAACAAATCTGCTGTTCAACTGAGTGGATTTCAAGAGCTGCAAAACTGCCAGAGCTACAATCTTGCAGAAGATCTTACTGCATTATGCATCCGATGAAGTGAGCTGTAGCTCACGAAAGCTTATGCTCAAATAAATTGGTTAGTCTCTAAGGTGCCACAAGTACTCCTTTTCTTATTTATGATGTTTCTCTTTGCTTGAGAGATCACAAGGGGACTCAGGCTTTGTTTTCTTTTGCCCCAGACACTGTCCATTAGCGAGTGATCTAGCCCATTGCCAGCATGTGGATTTTCATTATTCACACAATGAGACTGGCTAATGTGGTCACTGTGTCACCCAAGGAAATAAGGCTAAGATTTTCAAAGGACACAAGGTACTGGCCAACGTCTCCGAGCCTGGAATAGAACCCAGGAGTGTTAAGTCCCATCTATTGAGAAGGGCCTAGCAAACAGAGTACAGAAAACTTGGGAGTCTGTAGGAGAGAGTTCAGGGGATTTTCATCCTTTCTGCTTTAAGGCAAGGGACTAGAAAGAAAAGACAATGATGGCTATGGAGGTGGCGCTAGAGGCTAGCTTGTCTTGTGGACACTAAGCCCTGGTCTACACTAGGACTTTAGGTGGAATTTAGCAGCGTTAAATCGATGTAAACCTGCACTCGTCCACACGATGAAGCCCTTTATTTCGACTTAAAGGGCTCTTAAAATCGATTTCCTTACTCCACCCCTGACAAGTGGATTAGCACTTAAATCGGCCTTGCTGGCTCGAATTTGGGGTACTGTGGACACAATTCGACAGTATTGGCCTCCGGGAGCTATCCCAGAGTGCTCCATTGTGACCGCTCTGGACAGCACTCTCAACTCAGATGCACTGGCCAGGTAGACAGGAAAAGAACCGTGAACTTTTGAATCTCATTTCCTGTTTGGCCAGCGTGGCAAGCTGCAGGTGACCATGCAGAGCTCATCAGCAGAGGTGACCATGATGGAGTCCCAGAATCGCAAAAGAGCTCCAGCATGGACCGAACGGGAGGTACGGGATCTGATTGCTGTTTGGGGAGAGGAATCCGTGCTATCAGAACTCCGTTCCAGTTTTCGAAATGCCAAAACCTTTGTCAAAATCTCCCAGGGCATGAAGGACAGAGGCCATAACAGGGACCCAAAGCAGTGCCGCGTGAAACTTAAGGAGCTGAGGCAAGCCTACCAGAAAACCAGAGAGGCGAACGCCTGCTCCGGGTCAGAGCCCCAAACATGCTGCTTCTATGATGAGCTGCATGCCATTTTAGGGGGTTCAGCCACCACTACCCCAGCTGTGTTGTTTGACTCCTTCAATGGAGATGGAGGCAACACGGAAGCAGGTTTTGGGGACGAAGAAGATGATGATGATGAGGTTGTAGATAGCTCACAGCAAGCAAGCGGAGAAACCGGTTTTCCCGACAGCCAGGAACTGTTTCTCACCCTGGACCTGGAGCCAGTATCCCCTGAACCCACCCAAGGCTGCTTCCTGGACCCAGCAGGCAGAGAAGGGACCTCCGGTGAGTGTACCTTTTAAAATACTATACATGGTTTAAAAGCAAGCATGTGAAAGGATTACTTTGCTCTGGCATTCGTGGCTCTCCTGGATGTACTCCCAAAGCCTTTGCAAAAGGTTTCTGGGGAGGGCAGCCTTATTGCGTCCTTCATGGTAGGACACTTTACCACTCCAGGCCAGTAACACGTACTCGGGAATCATTGTACAACAAAGCATTGCAGTGTATGTTTGCTGGCGTTCAAACAACATCCGTTCTTTATCTCTCTGTGTTATCCTCAGGAGAGTGAGATATAATTCATGGTCACCTGGTTGAAATAGGGTGCTTTTCTTCAGGGGACACTCAGAGGAGCCCGTTCCTGCTGGGCTGTTTGCCTGTGGCTAAACAGAAATGTTCCCCGCTGTTAGCCACGGGGAGGGGGGAGGGTTGAGGGGGTAGCCACGTGGTGGGGGGAGGCAAAATGTGACCTTGTAACGAAAGCACATGTGCTATGTATGTAATGTTAACAGCAAGGTTTATCCTGAAAGAGTGTAGCCACTGTTTTATAAAATGTGTCTTTTTAAATACCGCTGTCCCTTTTTTTTTCTCAAACACACCAGCTGCATGTGTTTCAATGATCACAGGATCTTCTCCTTCCCAGAGGCTAGTGAAGATTAGAAAGAAAAAAAACGCACTCGAGATGAAATGTTCTCCGAGCTCATGCTGTCCTCCCGCACTGACAGAGCACAGACGAATGCGTGGAGGCAAATAATGTCAGAGTGCAGGAAAGCACAAAATGACTGGGAGGAGAGGTGGCGGGCTGAAGAGAGTAAGTGGCGGGCTGAAGACAGGGCTGAAGCTCAAATGTGGCGGCAGCGTGATGAGAGGAGGCAGGATTCAATGCTGAGGCTGCTGGAGGACCAAACCAGTATGCTCCAGTGTATGGTTGAGCTGCAGCAAAGGCAGCTGGAGCACAGACTGCCACTACAGCCCCTGTGTAACCAACCGCCCTCCTCCCCAAGTTCCATAGCCTCCACACCCAGACTCCCAAGAACGTGGTGGGGGGGCCACCGGCCAACCAGCCACTCCGCCACAGGGGATTGCCCAAAAAAAAGAAGGCTGGCATTCAATAAATTTTAAAGTTGTAAACTTTTAAAGTGCTGTGTGGCATTTTCCTTCCCTCCTCCACCACCCCTCCTGGGCTACCTTGGTAGTCATCCCCCTATTTGTGTGATGAATGAATAAAGAATGCATGAGTGTGAAGCAACAATGACTTTATTGCCTCTGCAAGCGGTGATCGAAGGGAGGAGGGGAGGGTGGTTAGCTTATAGGGAAGTAGAGTGAACCAAGGGGCGGGGGGTTTCATCAAGGAGAAACAAACAGAACTTTCACACCGTAGCCTGGCCAGTCATGAAACTGGTTTTCAAAGCTTCTCTGATGCGTACCGCGCCCTCCTGTGCTCTTCTAACCGCCCTGGTGTCTGGCTGCGCGTAACCAGCAGCCAGGAGACTTGCCTCAACCTCCCACCCCACCATAAACGTCTCCCCCTTACTCTCACAGATATTGTGGAGCACACAGCAAGCAGTAATAACAGTGGGAATATTGGTTTCGCTGAGGTCTAAGCGAGTCAGTAAACTGCGCCAGCGAGCCTTTAAACGTCCAAATGCACATTCTACCACCATTCTGCACTTGCTCAGCCTGTAGTTGAACAGCTCCTGACTACTGTCCAGGCTGCCTGTGTACGGCTTCATGAGCCATGGCATTAAGGGTAGGCTGGGTCCCCAAGGATACATATAGGCATTTCAACATCCCCAACAGTTATTTTCTGGTCTGGGAATAAAGTCCCTTCCTGCAGCTTTTGAAACAGACCAGAGTTCCTGAAGATGCGAGTGTCATGTACCTTTTCCGGCCATCCCACGTTGATGTTGGTGAAACGTCCCTTGTGATCCACCAGAGCTTGCAGCACTATTGAAAAGTACCCCTTGCGGTTTATGTACTCGGCGGCTTGCTGCTCCGGTGCCAAGATAGGGATATGGGTTCCGTCTATGGCCCCACCACAGTTAGGGAATCCCACTGCAGCAAAGCCATCCACTATGACCTGCACATTTCCCAGGGTCACTACCCTTGATATCAGCAGATCTTTGATTGCATGGGCTACTTGCATCACAGCAGCCCCAACAGTAGATTTGCCCACTCCAAATTGATTCCCAACTAACCGGTAGCTGTCTGGCGTTGCAAGCTTCCACAGGGCTATCGCCACTCACTTCTCAACTGTGAGGGCTGCTCTCATCTTGGTATTCATGCGCTTCAGGGCAGGGGAAAGCAAGTCACAAAGTTCCATGAAAGTGCCCTTACGCATGCGAAAGTTTCGCAGCCACTGGGAATCGTCCCAGACCTGCAACACTATGCGGTCCCACCAGTCTGTGCTTGTTTCCCGAGCCCAGAATCGGCGTTCCACAGCATGAACCTGCCCCATTAGCACCATGATGCATGCATTGGCAGGGCCCATGCTTTCAGAGAAATCTGTGTCCATGTCCTGATCACTCACGTGACCGCGCTGACGTCGCCTCCTCGCCCGGTATTGCTTTGCCAGGTTTTGGTGCTGCATATACTGCTGGATAATGTGTGTGGTGTTTAATGTGCTCCTAATTGCCAAAGTGAGCTGAGGGGCCTCCATGCTTGCCTTGGTATGGCGTCCACACAGAAAAAGGCGCGGAACGATTGTCTGCCATTGCTCTGATGGAGGGAGGGGCGACTGACGACATGGCTTATAGGGTTGGCTTCAGGGAGCTAAAATCAACAAAGGGGGTGGCTTTACATCAAGGAGTATTTCAGGCAGGACTTCATGGAGCGTTCCAATAAGAAATGGTGCACCTAAGTTATTGTTCTTATTGGAACAAGGAGGTTAGTCTGGCCTCTGATTGATACATGGCTAGATTTACCTCGCTGCACCTTCCCTGTGAGTGACTGCAGTGTGACCTAGAGGAATGAGTCCCCTAGACGGGGGAGGAGGCAAATGAGTACAAAACAAATCTGGTCTATTTCTTGTTTTGATCCACTCCATCTATCTTTTACATCTTTGGCTGGCAGCAGACAGTGCAGAAGGACTGCATGCCATCCACATCTCATGGTTGCTCGGCAGAAGATGGTGCAATAGGACTGCTAGCAATCCGTATCGCCTGCCTGCTCACCATAAGACGGTTCAATAGGACTGACTGCAGGACTAAAGAGAATGACCTGGTCAAGTCACTCCAAATTTAGTCCCTGCGCCCATGTCTGCCCAGGCGCTCGTGGCCGACGTGGCCAGGAGCACCTCGGACATGACAATGACGGCTACCAGTCGTACTGCACCGTCTGCTGCCACAAGGCAAGGGGTTGCTGCTACTGTGTAGCAATGCTGTACCGCGTCTGCCAGCACCCAGGAGACATACGGTGACAGTGAGCTGAGCGGGCTCCATGCTTGCCGTGGTATGGCGTCTGCACAGGTAACTCAGGAAAAAAGGCACGAAACGATTGTCTGCCCTTGCTTTCACAGAGGGAGGGAGGGAACGGGGGCCTGACGACATGTACCCAGAACCACCCGCGACAATGTTTTAGCCCCATCAGGCATTGGGATCTCAACCCAGAATTCCAATGGGCAGCGGAGACTGCGGGAACTGTGGGATAGCCACCCACAGTGCAACGCTCCGGAAGTCGACTCTAGCCTCGGTACTGTGGAAGCACTCCGCCGAGTTAATGCACTTAATGCACTTAGAGCATTTTCTGTGGGGACACACACACTTGAATATGTAAAACCGATTTCTAAAAAACCGACTTCTATAAATTTGACCTTATTCCGTAGTGTAGACATACCCTAAGGGTTAGCACCGATACAGCTACATCAATGGCTGAAAATGGGATAAATCCCCAGCATCAACAAGGCCTTCAGCATAAGCTTCCATTGGGTACAGTTTGGAACTCTTTCTGTTTGGTCCTCTGACCCAGCCCAAGCATCTTTGTCCTGAGTCACTAGTTCTATCTATATACCCTATATACGTATATAGCCTCCATTGCTGTAGTATCTGAGCACCTCACAATCTCTACTGTATTTATGCTCACAACATCCCTGTGAAGTAGGAAAGTGCTATTATTCCTATTTTATAGATGGGAGATTGCGATACAGGGAGCCAAGTGACCTGCCCAAGGTCACACAGGAAGTCTGTGGCAGAACAGGGACTTAAAACCAGCTCTTCCAAGCCCTGGGCTAGTGCCCTAACCACTGGCCCATCCTTCCTCTGATCTGACAACAAGCCTCCCTGGGTATTCCCTCAAAAAGTTAATCCAGGTCACTAGACTCTTTCCTCCTCACTCCCTTTGTGGGACTGACGTCACCTTCAGAACATGATCCAAAAGGAAAGTAAGAGAGGATGGTGGTAACCAGAATTAATGTTTGGGGGTGAATATCCAAGGACTCTTGCTGCCAGGTCATGGAGAATCAGGCACTCAGAGCAAAGGTTCTGAGAAAAAAGAAGGAGCGCTTGAATCACAAAGGAAATTATAGAGAATATCTGATTAGCATCATTTAGTTCATGGAAAAAATGAATCTTCTAGGGCAGTGGTTCCCAAACTGGGGTTCATGAAATGTTACAGGGGGTTCTCGGGAAAAAATTCCCTAATGGCGGACAGAGCTGTCCATAGGGACCCCGGGCAGCATGGGACCAGCAGCCCGGAGCCTTGGGGACTTCCGAGAGCTAATCAAATCAAAGCAGGCATATCTATCACACTGAGGACATTTAAACGTCACGACTCCTTATACAAAATAGAAAGGGAGGTGGATATTTTTTTGCTGTGGGAGTATGTTGAAACATTCCCCTCTCTGCATAAGTCCGTGACATACTTAATGAATCTCAGTCATGCTCACATGCAGGGAATCTATGACCTCACCGCCCTTGGGATCTCCCTTGAGAATGGGAGTAAGGTGTGAGAGCAACAGGGGACTCACAGGCAACCCTAGCATTTTTTGTGTGTGCAGGTTTCTGTCTTTTCCTATGTGAGACTATTAAGGCCCCTAAAAATAAATGGATTGAAGGAAGGATCCAGGGCAGACTCTCTCCCTGGAAGAATTATGAAATGCATGTCATGTATTTGGGGAACACATTCAAAGAAAGTGGAGGGGATATTGGTAGGGTAACTCCTGGTGGGGACATCTGAGTAGCAGGCAGAAGATGCTTCTTTGAGCTGCCCTCCAGTAACACCACATGAATCAGAGGCGCCTGTACGGGGGGTGGGGGGGGTGAGGGTCACGTACTGCCCCTGTGTCAGCACGACACCCCCCCCCCGTAGGTCCCTCCCCTTTTTTTTCCAGAGGCCTTTTCTGGCCCCCCCACTTTTCCAGCGGTGCGCCCCAGACCCCAGGGTGCACACAAGCTTTGCCCCCGCACCTCTTTTTTCTACTGGCACCTCTGAGAGGAGCCTTGTCTTATAACAGGCTGAATCAAAACTGATACAAGCTACAAAAGTGAGATCTTGGAAGAGTGTTGCCATTTCATAATGTAATAAAAAAGCTGTAATGATAAATAATAATTAATAAATAGTGTGTAATAAGCATGCCATAAAAACACATTTTATATTTTCAAGATCACTGCTTTTATAATTTATGCTGAGGTAAGGGTGAAAATCCCTGGAAATATTCATTTTTAGAAGGTGCTTTATGAGATTTGACATTTTAGTGAAAGGGGTTTGCGGGTTGTTAAAGTTTGGGAATCACTTTCTCCCTTACCTCAGCAAAGCCTGTGTGCTCTCACCCCTTACTCCCATTCTCAAGGGAGATCCCAGGGGCGGCGAGGTCATAGATTCCCTCCATGTGAACATGACTGAGATTCATTAAGTATGTCACGGACTTATGCAGAGAGGGGAATGTTTCAACATACTCCCATAGCAGTCTAGAGAACACCAGCTCCTGAATATTTAATACTGAGTTCATCTCTCACCACCAGAAAAAAGAGAGCGACAATGACAGCAAGTTCTTGTGTCAGCAGATACACCTCTTGTATTGTATCTGCAATTTCTCCTAGGCCGACAGGTCATGGGTTCAAGTCCCACATAGGGATTTGGGCTAACCTTCAGTGCTATAGTGGGGGGATGGAATGGGAGATGTACTATGAAATAATTGGATATGTTACATTCAGATCTCTTCTGCCTGTCCCCAGTTGGACATTGTCCAGATGAGTTGAAAATTCCTTGGTGTTGCTAACATGTCAGTGGCAGAGGTTGTCCTGGCTTCTCCCAGTAAAACAGTTTTTGACCGCCAGAGATGTGTGAGTTGTAGCTGTGCACCAAAATGGGTGCCCTATTTGCCATCCCAATCACAGCATTATAGTATCCAGGCTCTTGCTTTGTGAAGCCCTTGGGATTCTCAACAGTTTAAAAGGCACCATGGAACACAGTGCAAATCTAGTCTGTCTTCTCAAGGTCTAAGACAGTATGACTGTCCATGAGATGAGGCATAAACAGAATGCCACAGGCACCAACTGTGAGAACGTAGTGAGGTGTGGCCGGTGTAGGACAAACTCTGAGCACGGGCAGTCCGTGACATAACCAGGCTGGCATGGGCACTCTTGGTACAAACATCTTTAGAGGTAGGCCCAGGCTGAATGAATGGGTTGTCATGGGAACAGTCAATGTCAGCAGTTTTAGGGACATCCTGTGATGAATGAACACATGCGATCTTACACCATCAGCGTGGGTGTCCATAGGTGGCCCAGGAGAAAGGGCCAGTGTGGTAGCAATGATATGAGCTGCCTTAGTGGGTGGTGTGAGTGACACGAACAGGAGCTCCTGGTGTCAATGCCCTTCCTTGGGAGTTGGTTCATGACAACTGAACACGCTGGTGTGGGTCCTTAGGTGAAACAGTGTAGGCACTGTCGGTGTATGTTGCCATGGGGCAGCCTGGGATGGATGGTCAGGCGCTGATGGTGTGTTGCTATTGGGCAGTCTGGGATGGATCCTCAGGCGCTGATGGTGTGAGCATCCTTAAGGCTGGGGACCTTATAAGACTCAAGAATGTGAATTACCTTGCAGAGTTGTGTTTTTGTCACTACTGCCTTCCCCTGAGCACTCAGGTCATAATTTCCTGAAGCCCTCAGTTAACTATGTCAGTTTAGTCCTGATATCCTTTTACAGCTGTATGGGAGGGGCATTTTGTGGCTGATGATTGTAGGTACATAGAAAAGTTGTGAGCCTGATGCAGGCAGAGTCCCTTTCCCTGACAGGGTTTTGCGGAGGGTGCTTGAAACTGGACCTACCTTGAGATCGTTCTGCCTCCTACTCGACAGTGTTGCACTGAGGACTGTGGAGTGGGATGTAGTTGGGGAAGCTACACAACAGCGATAGAACCACAAACCCGTGGGACAATCCTGGCAAAGACAAGCTGAACCCCAGAGCAAGACCAAATGCCCTTTGAGTGACAAACTGGAGACACCCGAGCCAAAGCGGTCTCTCATTTGTATTGCTGCTGCAAACCCTCCTGGTTGCAGTGGGTTTGTGCTAATGCAACTGAAAGGCGAATGTGGCCCATTTGCAAAGCCCATTCATTCAGAGGCTTTGCTGCAAGGGTACAGAGGCAGCCAAGGAAACCATTGTACTTTAAGGAGGAAATAACCTCCCAGCCAGTGACCCGCAGCAAACGCACACCTGGGGGAAGCCAGCTGCCGTGCACCGATGTCAGACCCACCTCTCCCGTCCGCTGACGGCAGCCCAGTCCCGCGGCTCGTTCTCTCCGGCCCCCTGACGCCGGTCTAGGGGGCACACCCAGCGTGGAGAGCTACGAGGCAGCGAGCGGCGGGCGGAGGCGCTGACTCCGGAGCACAGGCTCGGTGGCTGCGCGCCTGGGGCAGGGGCTTTGGGAACCGGCCGCCAGCGAGCGCGCCACGGGCCGATCCTGCCGCTGCTCCGCTCCGCTCCGCTCGCTTTGGGCTGGAAGCCGTGGAAACGGGAGGCAGAGCTCAGTGCAGCCGCTGCCGCCGCCTGGGAGAAACGGATCCGGCTCTTTCCTTACCAAGCGGTGGCAGAGCCCCCTAGAGACCTGCCTCCTGCGGGAAGAGAGAGCGAAGCGGCTCCCTGCGCTGCCCCCTCAGACCCCCCACCCCTGTCCTGCGAGAGCCGCTTCGGAGCCTGCGCTGCCCCCCCACCCCGCTTGCCCCTGTCTTGGGGGCGGGCTGGGGGGGGCTCCCCAACCTGCCAGGCAGGGAGAGAACTGGGCATCGCTTGATCCCGGACTCGAAGGGCCGCGGCCGCACCAGACCAAAGGCAAACACCGGGGGGAGGGCGGGACGCCTAGCGACTCCCCACCCACCACCCCGCTCCTCGGCTGGGGCGCCCGGCCGACTGGAGCGGCGCTCCCCCGCGGCCAGCCCGGCTGACTCGCGGAGCCGCGGGCAGCTGCCCGAGCCCGCCGGGGGCGGCCGAGCCTTACCGTGGCATCTTCGCCGGCGTAGTGGCTGATCACCCGGGGGCCGCCCGGGTGCCTGGCTGCCCACGTGGTGATGTTGTAAACCTTCCGCTCGATCACCAGCCACTTGTCCGTCCGCAGGTTGTGCCGCTGGACCTCCTCCCAGCTGTAGAGCCGGCTGGGCGCCTGGCGCTCCCCTGCCCCCTCGCCTTTCTCCCCGCCTTTCCCCATGGGCGCCCCTCGCTCCCCCCGGCCCCAATCGCCCGCTGCCCCGCGGCCTGCCTGCGCCTCCCGGAGGGTGGCCGGAAGGAAAGAGCCTTTCCCCCCTTGGGTGAATTCAGCTGATCCCCTGTTCGCCCCCCTGCCCGCCTCTCATGTTCGCCCTGGCTCCTCTTTGTCTTCCCTTCCCTCTCCGCTGCCAGCCCCTTTGCAGTCACCCCGCCCCGCTGCCTGCTCTGAAGTGCCCCCTAGGCTGCTCTTCCCTGCGGGGATAGGCTTCCCCCTCTCCGATAATAACCCCCTTCTGCGGGAACCTCAGCCCGCTGCCCCCCTCTTCCCAGCCGCACCCCCCTCCATTCATCACTTGGGCGGGGCGGGGGGTTTCCACAGTGATCAGCAGAGCTCCTGCACCAATCCCAGCTCGCCCCCCAGCGGAGCCGGGGCCTGCCATTGGCTGGGGTTGATCTTGCGAAGGGGAAAGCTGGCTGAATTCCAACCTAAACCCGAAGAAGCCTCGACACTGTATCCCACTGGGATTGGGGCCCGCTCCCTCCAGAGAGGCAGCAAGAAGGGGGTACTTAGCAAAGGGATGGGGGGGGGGAGGTGTAATTTCTAATGAGCCTCTAATTTTTGTTTGTTTGTATTTGCATTTCGGCTTGGATTTTAGAAAGCTGGTTCAGGGCGGTCATCTCACTGGGACTGTAATTAGTGGAAGGAGACTTTTGGACTGTGACTGAAATTAGCATAATTTGGTCGCTTTGATCACGCTGAATTATGGCCAGGATCGCTAGCAGGCACTGCAGTTTCTCCCACTGCTGAGGAGGTTCATCGCTCTGCAGGACAGTTCTCTGCTTGGGGCAGTGCTTTTGGGTCAATTTCATTAGTGGGTAGGAGAATTCCCTTCTTCTTTAGCCCCCAGGGCACTTCATGATCACATGATCCCCATTCTTAGTTGCCAGGGCTTTGCAGCTCAAAGGCAAAAAGAATGGCTCAGCAGTTACACTGCCTTCCTTCAGGTGTGGGAGGACATTTATGACAACTCTCCAGGGCAATCCAATCCTGACCTGTGGCATCCCCTTCTTTTCCTGACCTGCATGTCTCTGCCAATACCCCTCATGCTTCACCTGCAACAGGCCTATCATGGCACTCTCATAAATCCCCTCTTACCCCAGATTTGTCAATTCACCTTAAGGGTGATCTGCAACATTCAAGTTATTTTAAACCTGGGCCCCTCTCACACAGCGCCAAGTGCACCTGTTACACCTCAGCTATTCCATTCCCCCATAGTGCTGCTCTAGATCTCAATCCTGAACTGCAGCGGCATGACCCAAGGATCTCAAGGTATTTGGCTTCACAAAGAGGAGGTCAAGGAGTGGCTTGTTTACAGTCTATAAGTACCTACAGGGGGAACTAATATTTGGTAATAGCCTCTTCAGTTTAGCAGACAAAGGTATAACAAAATCCAGTGACTGAAAGTTGAAGCTTGACACACTGAGACTGGAAATAAGGTGTAAAATTTTAACAGTGAGGGTAATTAACCATTGGAACAATTTACCAGGGTTGTGGTAGATTCTCTGTCATTGACAATTTTAAAATCAAGATTGGATTTTTTTGAAAGATATGCTCTAGTTCAAAAAAATTACTTTGGGGGAAGTTCTATAGTATGTGTTAAATAGGCGGTCGGTCAGACTAGATCAGTGGTCTCCAAAGTGGGGTGCGCACCCCCCGGGGGTGCACCAGAGGATCCCAGGGGGTGTGCGGCAGGAGGAGCACCGCCGGACAGCACCTTGCCATTTTTTTCCTTTGGCGGCAGCTTTGCACGCCTGCAGCAGGTCTTCCCCTCCGGTGACATGCCTGGGGCAGGTCTTCCCTCCTTCTTTCTTCGGCGGCACGCTGGCGGCAGGTCTTTCCGTCTTCTTTCTTTGGCGGCACGCCTGCGGTAAGTCTTCCCCTCTCCTTTCTTCGGCTGCACCGTGGGGGTGCGTGATCCAAAAACTTTGGAGACCACTTGACTAGATGATCATAATTATCCGCTCTGTCCTTGGAATCTCTGAATCGTCTCCTATTCTGTTTCTGCCCCCCAAATAACTATTTCAAAGTATCTCACTACCAGCTGCCAGTGCAGCCCCTTCATATGCCATCCCCGGGTGCCTGCACTGCTCTGCCAGCATAGCTCGATCCTGTCCTGCAGCCCCCGGGCTTATTCCAGTCCTGGGCCCCGTACCCCCACAGCTGTGCCAATGAACATCAATTCTGTCCTGTAACACCTCTTGCTATCCCACCCATGCGTCCTCTGCACAGCTCTGCCAATACGCCCAATCTTCCCCTTTTGGGATAAACAGGATACTCTGAGAAAAGCTGATCAGTTTCCTGGCACAGGCAAGGCTGGCGAGACCTATACCTTGTGCTCTTTGTTGTATTTCCCATGCTGCTTTGCCTAGTGTATGTTTGTTGTGGCATATCTGCCCCGAGTACATGTGGAATAACTTGATGGATTGTGCCTCCCAGGGCCAGTGCTAGACTTTTTCACACTTTAGGCAGCCCCTCTTGCCCTGGAAAGCTGTCCTGGCTGGTGAAAGGCTGCAGATGGGACAGAGCCCCATTAGTCTGGACCCAGTTCCTGGTGGAGGGAGGGATGCCCTTAAAAAAGCAGACCTTTCTCCCAAAAGTTGTCTAACCTGGTGGGTAGTGGCCAGGCCAAAGCTACATCAGTGGGGTTGCTTACAGTCCTGGACAGACTCCCAGCTGCCACCAAGGCTCTTCCCAAGCTTAGGGGCTGGGGGAACAGTTAGGCCAAAGTTACACTGGCAAAACAGCTCCCTTCCACTTCTGCTGGTGTTGGGTAGACACACTTAAAGGAGCAGACCCACCCCCCTTTGAAAACTGTCCTGGCAGGAGTGGTGACTAGGCAGGAACTGTGTGGCCATGGTGGCTGCTAGCCCTGCTGCGCTGCATTGCTGTGTAGGAGTGACAACCCATGAAAATTCAGTGCCGTAGGTAGCTGCCTATATGATCTCTACCCCCTAACATCAGCCCTGATGCCATCCAAGAATGAGCGTGGTTCCAATACTCTGCTATGCTTTTAGTGTGTAACAATCCACTCAGACTTACTTGTGCCACTTTGTTCAGCTGCCTCTTTAATACTGGTCATTTTCCGTCTGCTTATAGGTATATTTCAGAATGACATGTACTCGCATGCCATTCCCTACACCTGCTACCAGCCAATGCAATTCTTGACTGAGCATCATGCTCTAGGATATCTCTTCCTGGGCACTAAAGAATGTGGATCTTGTATTTCTGCAAGTGGAGAATCAAGTTCTGTCATCTAAGTGGTGATGCGAAGAATGGTTTCTCAATAATTGAATCAAGCGGTTTATAGTCTCATTCAAGTGTAGCATAACAATACTGATAAAAGTGCCTGCAGCCAAATGCAATTGGCTTTAGTTCCTTTTCTGTCTGGGCATAATATTCCTTGCTTGGCATGGATAATTTTGATGTGTCCAACAGCAGTCAACATTCCTGGAGGAAAACTGCAGCAGGTCCATTGTCAGATGCATCTGCTTTCTATGAGCTGTTGGACTGAGATTCACTTACTAAGAAGATGGAGCTAACAAATCTTTATTAAGGCAAAACACTCAGCAAGTGGTGATCAGTTCTTACAAGTGGGACACTCATCAGGACCATCTCACCACAATCACCTCCAGCACTGGACAATACAGCTTCAACTTCCCTTTGTCACACAAACTTATCTGTAACTTTTTGTTATCTTTTCTACATGTATGTACTAGTCTCTCATTTCCACGATAACTCTCCCCCAGTCAGTGTAGGTTCAGTGTTGGTTCAAACTGATCTTTTTTCTTTTCTTTTCTTTTCTTTTCTTTTCTTTTCTTTTCTTTTCTTTTCTTTCACAAACATGATTACTCTGCAGTTTCTTACACATGTGTGGTTCTACTTATGCTTACACTGTTAAATGTTATCAGAACAGACTTTTAAAATTCACAGCAGGCTTCTATCAGGCCCAAATATGTCTTTGGCTCCCAACATGAGCCCAATCCTGCTCTCACTGGAGTTGATGGCAAAATTCCATGTAACTTCAATGGGAGGAAGGTTGGACACCACTTGGATCAAAAAGGCAAACAATGGACTCTGTTTTTTGTGATAAGGAATTTCATGTTTTGGAAAGCAATGGCATGTGGCTTCTCCTGAATTAATTCAATATCCCCCTGAAGCAGCCACTACAATGCTGCATTGATTTTAAACACATCCAGCTGATTCGTCTTGGTGTAACTCCACTGATTTATACACAAATGCAAGAAGCCTGGGAAAGAAGCAGGGAGAACTGGAAGTCCTGGCACAGTCAAGGAATTATGATATGATTGGAATAACAGAGACTTGGTGGGATAACTCACATGACTGGAGTACTGTCATGGATGGATATAAACTGTTCAGGAAGGACAGGCAGGGTAGAAAAGGATGGGGAGTTGCATTGTATGTAAGGGAGCAGTATGACTGCTCAGAGCTCCGGTATGAAACTGCAGAAAAACCTGAGTGTCTCTGGATTAAGTTTAGAAGCGTGAGCAACAAGGGTGATGTCGTGGTGGGAGTCTGCTATAGACCACTGGACCAGGGGGATGAGGTGGACGAGGCTTTCTTCCGGCAACTCACGGAAGTTACTAGATCGCAGGCCCTGGTTCTCATGGGAGACTTCTATCACCCTGACATCTGCTGTGCACAGACAATCCAGGAAGTTTTTGGAAAGTATAGGGGACAATTTCCTGGTGCAAGTGCTGGAGGAACTAACTAGGGGAGAGCTCTTCTTGACCTGCTGCTCACAAACCAGGAAGAATTAGTAGGGGAAGCAAAAGTGGATGGAAACCTGGGAGGCAGTGACCATGAGATGGTCAAGTTCAGGATCCTGACACAGGGAAGAAAGGAGAGCAGCACAATACGGACCCTGGACTTCAGAAAAGCAGACTTTGACTCCCTCAGGGAACTGATGGGCAGGATCCCCTGTGAAAATAACATGA